GAATGTCTTTCCATTTCTTTGTGTCTTCCTCAATTTCTTTCATGTGTATTTTATAGTTTTCTGAGTACAGATCCTTTGCCTCTTTGGTTAGATTTATTCCTAGGTATCTTATGGTTTTGGGTGCAATTGTAAATGGGATCAACTCCTTAATTTCTCTTTCTTCTGTCTTGTTGGTGTATAGGAATGCCATTGATTTCTGTGCATTGATTTTATATCCTGCCACTTTACTGAATTCCTGTATGAGTTCTAGCAGTTTTGGGGTGGATTCTTTGGGGTTTTCCACATTAAGTATCATATCATCTGCAAAGAGTGAGAGTTTGACTTCTTTGCCGATTTGGATGCCTTTGATTTCTTTTTGTTGTCTGATTTCTGTGGCTAGGACTTCCAATACTATGTTGAATAGCAGTGGTGATAGTGGACATCCCTGCCGCGTTCCTGACCTTAGGGGGAAAGCTCTCAGTTTTTCCCCATTGAGAATGATAGTTGCTGTAGGTTTTTCATAGATGGCTTTTATGATATTGAGGTATGTCCCCTCTATGCCTATACTCTCAAGAGTTTTGATCAAGAAAGGATGCTGTACTTTGTCAAATGCTTTTTCTGCATCTATTGAGAGGATCATATGATTCTTGTTCTTTCTTTTGTTAATGTATTGTTTTTTTATTTTTAAAGATTTATTTATTTATTTGAGAGAGCGAGAATGAGAGAGAGAGAGTACATGAGAGAGGGGAGGGTTAGAGGGAGAAGCAGGTTCCTTGCTGAGCAGGGAGCCCAATGCGGGACTTGATTCTGGGACTCCAGGATCATGACCTGAGCCGAAGGCAGTCGCTTAACCAACTGAGCCACCCAGGCGCCCCTTGTTAATGTATTGTATCATGTTGATTGATTTGCGGATGTTGAACCAACCTTGCAGCCCAAGGATAAATCCCACTTGGTCGTGGTGAATAATCCTTTTAATGTACTGTTGGATCTTATTGCCTAGTATTTTGGTGAGAATTTTTGCATCCATGTTCATCAGGGATATTGGTCTGTAATTCTCCTTTTTGATGGGGTCTTTGTCTGGTTTTGGGATCAAGGTAATGCTGGCCTCATAAAATGAGTTTGGAAGTTTTCCTTCCATTTCTATTTTTTGGAACAGTTTCAGAAGAATAGGTATTAATTCTTCTTGAAATGTTTGGTAGAATTCCCCTGGGAAGCCATCTGGCCCTGGGCTTTTGTTTCTTGGGAGATTTTTGATGACTGCTTCAATTTCCTTAGTGGTTATAGGTCTGTTCAGGTTTTCTAGTTCTTCCTGGTTCAGTTTTGGTAGTTGATACATCTCTAGGAATGCATCCATTTCTTCCAGGTTATCTAATTTGCTGGCATAGAGTTGCTCATAATATGTTCTTATAATCGTTTGTATTTCTTTGGTGTTGGTTGTGATCTCTCCTCTTTCATTCATTATTTTGTTGATTTGGGTCATTTCTCTTTTCTTTTTGATAAGTCTGGCCAGGGGTTTATCAATCTTGTTAATGCTTTCAAAGAACCAGCTCCTAGTTTCGTTGATCCGTTCTACTGTTCTTTTAGTTTCTATTTCATTGATTTCTGCTCTGATCTTTATTATTTCTCTTCTCCTGCTGGGTTTAGGCTTTATTTGCTGTTCTTTCTCCAGCTCCTTTAGGTGTAGGGTTAGGTTGTGTACTTGAGACCTTTCTTGTTTCTTGAGAAAGGCTTGTATTGCTATATACTTTCCTCTTAGGACTGCCTTTGCTGCATCCCAAAGATTTTGAATAGTTGTGTTTTCATTTTCATTGGTTTCCATGAATTTTTTTAATTCTTCTTTAATTTCCTGGTTGACCCATTCATTCTTCAGTAGGATGCTCTTTAGCCTCCATGTATTTGAGTTCTTTCCGACTTTCCTCTTGTGACTGAGTTCTAGTTTCAAAGCATTGTGGTCTGAAAATAGGCAGGGAATGATCCCAATCTTTTGGTACCAGTTGAGACCTGATTTATGACCTAGGATGTGATCTATTCTGGAGAACGTTCCATGGGCACTAGAGAAGAATGTGTATTCCATTGCTTTGGGATGCAATGTTCTGAATATATCTGTGAAGTCCATTTGGTCCAGTGTGTCATTTAAAGTCTTTATTTCCTTGTTGATCTTTTGCTTAGACGATCTGTCCATTTCAGTGAGGGGGGTGTTAAAGTCCCCCACTATTATTGTATTGTTGTCGATGTGTTTCTTTGCTTTTGTTATTAATTGCCTTATATAATTGGCTGCTCCCATGTTAGGGGCATAGATATTTACAATTGTTAGATCTTCTTGTTGGATAGACCCTTTAAGTAGGATATAGTGTCCTTCCTCATCTCTTATTACAGTCTTTGGTTTAAAATCTAATTTGTCCGATATAAGGATTGCCACCCCAGCTTTCTTTTGGTGTCCATTAGCATGGTAAATCGTTTTCCACCCCCTCACTTTCAATCTGGGGGTGTCTTTGGGTCTAAAATGAGTCTCTTGCAGACAGCATATCAATGGGTCTTGTTTTTTAATCCAATCTGATAGCCTGTGTCTTTTGATTGGGGCATTTAGCCCATTTACATTCAGGGTAAGTATTGAAAGATAGGAATTTAGTGCCATTGTATTGTCTGTAAGGTGACTGTTACTGTATATTGTCTGTGTTCCTTTCTGGTCTTTGTTGCTTTTAGGGTCTCTCTTTGCTTAGAGGACCCCTTTCAAGATTTCTTGTAGGGCTGGCTTCGTTTTTGCAAATTCCTTTAGTTTTTGTTTGTCCTGGAAGCTTTTTATCTCTCCTTCAATTTTCAATGACAGCCTAGCTGGATATAGTATTCTTGGCTGCATATTTTTCTCATTTAGTCCTCTGAATATATCCTGCCAGTCCTTTCTGGCCTGCCAGGTCTCTGTGGATAGGTCTGTTGCCAATCTAATGTTTCTACCATTGTAGGTTACATATTCTTCTCCTGAGCTGCTTTCAGGATTTTCTCTTTGTCTATGAGACTTGTAAGTTTTACTATTAGGTGTCGGGGTCTTGACCTATTTTTATTGATTTTGAGGGGGGGTTCTCTGTGCCTCCTGGATTTTGATGCCTGTTTCCTTCCCCAAATTAGGGAAGTTCTCTGCTATAATTTGCTCCATTATACCTTCTGCCCCTCTCTCTCGTTCTTCTTCTTCTGGGATCCCAATTATTCTAATGTTGTTTCGTCTTATGGTATCACTTATCTCTCAAATTCTGCCCTCGTGATCCAGTAGTTGTTTATCTCTCTTTTTCTCAGCTTCTTTATTTTCCATCATTTGGTCTTCTATATCACTGATTCCCTCTTCTGCCTCATTTATCCTAGCAGTTAGTGCCTCCATATTTGATTGCACCTCATTAATAGCCTTTTTGATTTCAACTTGGTGAGATTTTAGTTCTTTTACTTCTCCAGAAAGGGTTTCTCTAATAACTTCCATGCTTTTCTCAAGCCCAGCTAGTATCATTAAAGTGATGATTCTGAACTCTAGATCTGACATCGTACTAATGTCCGTATTGAGTAGGTCCCTGGCAGTCGGTACTACCTCTTGTTCTTTTTGTTGAGGTGATTTTTTCCGTCTTGTCATTTTGTGCAGAGGAGAATAGATTAATGAGAGAATAAAATACTAGCAGAGTAACAACATCCCCAGAAAATATACTCTAAACAAATCAGAAAAGACCTGAAGCAGTGGGAAAAGAAAGGGAAAGAGAGAAAAAAGAAAAAGAAAAAAAAGAAAAAGAAAAAGATAAAGAAAAAAACAAACAAAAACAGAACAAAACAAAACAACAACAACAAAAAAAACCAGAATGTGATCAAATATGATCAGGGTGGTATATAGATCACTGCCACACACTAGATTTTGGGTGTATTTTGGTCTGTTAGAAGAAAGTGCCTCCCAAAATTTTAAAGAAAGAAAAACTTCTATATATACAAAAATAAGGGTTGATATGATGAAGGGATGGAATATGACTGTAAAGATGGAAATTATAAAAAATTTTATAAAAGGAATTGATAAGAAGTTGTTTGAAAAAAGAAAGAAGAGAATTTAAAAAAAGAAAAAAGAAAAAAAAGGGAGAGAATGTGATCAGGCAGGGGAGTAGAAAAAAAACCATATACTAGAGATTTAGGGTGTATTTTGATCTGTTAGAAGAAACTATCTCAAATTTTTACAGAGAGAACAACTTATATATATATATGCCAAAAATACGGGTAACTACTATGAAGGGATAGAATATGACTCTAAAAATGAAAAATAAAAATGTTTTTTTATTTTTATCTTTTTTTTTTTTTTAAGGATTTTATTTATTTATTTGACAGAGAGAGACACAGCGAGAGAGGGAACACAAGCAGGGGAAGCAGGAGAGGGAGAAGCAGGCTTCCCGCCGAGCAGGGAGCCCGATGCGGGGCTCGATCCCAGGACCCTGGGATCACGACCTGAGCCGAAGGCAGACGCTTAATGACTGAGCCACCCAGGCACCCCTAAAAATGTTTTTTAAAAAAGGGATTGATAAGATGTTGGTTGAAAAAGGGAAAAAGAAAAATTAAAAAAAAAAAAAAAGAGGGCGCCTGGGTGGCTCAGTTGGTTGGGTGACTGCCTTCGGCTCAGGTCATGATCCTGGAGTCCTGGGATAGAGTCCCGCATCGGGCCCCCGGCTCAGCGGGGAGCCTGCTTCTCCCTCTGACCCTCCTCCCTCTCATGCTCTGTCTCTCATTCTCTCTCTCGCAAATAAATAAATAAAATCTTTAAAAAAAAAAAGAAAAAAAGACAGTTAAAAAAAAATTAACTTTGAAAGACTAAAGAATCATGGTAAAAAAGCCGTGAATTCTATGTGCAGTATTCCCCTAGCGCTGGAGGTCTGCCGTTCTCATTGATCGGTAAACTTGGTCTTGGCTGACTTTCTCGCTGATCTTCTGGGGGAGGGACCTGTTGCCGTGGTTCCCAAATGTCTTTGCCGGAGGCGGAATTGCCCCGCCCTTGCCCCTCCCGGCTAAGTAATCTGCTCAGGTTTGCTCTCTGGGGCTTTTGTTCCCTGCGAGCTTTCCTTACAGCTTTGGAGGCGGAGAGTGAAAATGGCAGCCTCCCAATCTCCGCCCCCGGAGGAGCCGAGAACTCGGGGCCCCGCTCCTCAGTGAGCCCCCAGAGAAAAGCCGTCAGTCACTCCCGTCTCCCCGCTCTCCGGCCGCACTCCGTGCTCACCCGGCCTGCGACCGCGCGCCTCTGTCTCTGGCACCCGACCCCACGTGCAGTCTCCAAACCCAGCAGATCCCTGCGGTGCCCTCCCGCGCGGCTCCTCCTGGGGGAGGAAGGTGAGTCTCCCCGGATCTGCTGCTTGTTGGGTCCCTGCTGGAGGAGCAGGGGCCCGACTGTGCCGCGGATCACGGTTCATGGCAACCCCGAGCTGAGAGCCCGCGCCTGGGCTCCGCCTCTGCAGCCGGCTTCCCTGCTCCGATACCTGGGAGCTCTGCTACACTCAGGCACCCCCGGTCTTTCTGTGACCCCGAGGGTCCTGAGACCACACTGTCCTGGAGGGTTCCACCCCCCGCTTAGCCACCAGAGTGACGTCTCTCAGCGGAGCAGACTTTTAAAAGTTCCGATTTTGTGCTCCGTGGCTTTATCACTTGCCAGAAGCGGCCGACGGAGGCCCCTCCCCCGCCGTCTATCCTCCCGAATATCGCCTCGGGTTCACTTCTCCGCACGTCCTACCTTCCAGAAAGTGGTCGCTTTTCTGTTCAGAGAGTTGTTGCTATTCTTTTCTTCGATCTCCTGTTGAGTTTGTAGGTGTTCAGAATGGTTTGATCCCTATCCAGCTGAATTCCTGAGAGGAGACGAAATCCAGGTCTCCTACTCCTCTGCCATCTTGCTCCGCTCCCCCCGCCATCTTAACCATTTTTAAGTGCCTGGTGACATCAAGCACATTCACCATCCATCTCCAGAACTCTTTTCATCTTGCAAAATTGAAACTCTGTCCCCATAATAATTTTTTTTGATCCTTAAAATTTTCCCTTGGAGGGCATGGATTCTGGAGCCAGATGGCTCTGTTGGAATCTCCATCTCCACCCCACCCCCTTACTAGCTGAGCGTGGGCACCTTCTGTCACCACTCTGTGCCTCGGTTTCCTTGTCTGTAATATGGGGATAATCTTAGTCCTAATCTCATAGTCCAGGGGCTCGCAAAAGTGTGGTTTCTGGACCACTGCAGCATCAGCAAAGCCTGGAAATTTGTTGCAAATGCAGATTCTCAGATGCTCTGTAAATAGGGCCCTATTTTAAAATAGGGTTTTAACAAGACCTCCAGGAGATTCTGAGGCTTGCTCAAATTTGAGAACCATTATCATAGGTTATTGGGAAGATTAAGTAGATATAAAATAATTAGAGAGGTGCCTGGCCTCGCAGCCCAGCCCATACTGTGGAAATACTCATTATCATTGTTGATATTATTCATGGAGGAGGTCCTATGGGGGGGTGGTATCTGGCTGTGTCCTCTCTTCCCATCTGGTGGGGTCTGGGTTCCTGGTCTCTGCTGAACTGAGACCTTCTCACCCTCTCTGTTGAAGATGACAGTGAGCTGGACCACGTCACCCCATCCATGGTTAAAGGTTATCACTTGGTCCTGGAAATGGGAAAGGTCGGGCGGGGGGGCCATGCCCTTATCCCCTCTGCTGAAGGAGATAAAGGAGGTCACTTGCCTTCTCCATGACAGGTGGGGGGAGCCAGGATGTATAAATGGGGGGCCAGGAGGCAGCAGAGTCACAGACACCCAGGGAAGTTGCCTCACTGTGCCCCAGAGTCCCAGGTGTTCCTGTCCAGCATGGCCAAGCGCCCGCTGCTGTTGCTGCTGACCGTGTGGGTGCTGGCTGGGGAGCTGTGGCTGAGGGCTGAGGCCTGGGCATCGCCCTACGGAGTGAAGCTTTGCGGCCGGGAATTCATCCGGGCAGTCATCTTCACCTGCGGGGGCTCCCGGTGGAGACGGTCGGACATTCTGGCTCCTGAAGCTATGGGTGAGGCTGGGAGGTAGCGTGTGGGGGGAGGGGGTGGACAGTGGATGGGACATGGGATGGTCCAAAGAGCCAGGGACAGGGCAGAAGAGTCCCTGTCCTACTATGTGCAACTGGAGGAACTTGCCCAGGCCTCAAAGTTGGGCGGAGGTGGGATGAGCCAGTTAGCAGAGCCGGGATGGGGTGGCAAGCCATCCACACCCTCTAGTCATCCAAGAACTAGCTACTATTTCTGGAGCACCTGCCGAGTGTGAGCCTGCCTTAAGCAAGGCTGCTGCTTGCACAACTCCTAGGATGGGGGGTGGGGTGGGAGGTGGGATGCCATTTAGAAACTGACACTGAAGTGCTTTTCAACCTCCAAGGAAGGTAGTGTGGGGTACACAAGGCCAGATTTTGCCACCTAGCAGGTGACCTTCCTAACGAGTTGGTTACCCTCTCCGAGCCCCTTTATCCGAAAATAGGAGGCCCAGTTAAGTGGCAACACTGAGTCAAAAACAGATTAGGACACCATCTAAACTGGGCAAGGGGTTCAGTCGGGGCTCAAGCAGGGGGCATGGGGCCTAGTTTCATGAGGGGCAGGAGCCTGGCCAAAAAAAAAGGGGGGGGGGGTTCGTGATGATGATGGTATGAATATGGACCGGAAAGACACACTGCCTGGGTTCAAGTAGCAGCCCTACAACTTCATAGCTGGGTTTTCTTTTCTTTTCTTTTTTTTTTTTTTTTAAGATTTTATTTATTTGACAGAGACAGTGAGAGAGGGAACACAAGCAGGGGGAGTGGGAGAGAGAGAAGCAGGCTTCCCGCTGAGCCGAAGGCAGACACTCAACCAACTGAGCCACCCAAGCACCCCCATAGCTGGGTTTTCTTGCACAAGTTAGCCTACCAAATTGTGCCTCGGTGTTCTCGTCTGGAAATTGGAAATGATAACAGCTGCACCCACTTCATGGGGTTGTCATTGTGAGGAATAAAGGAGTTAATCCACTAAATCCTTTAGAACAGTGTCTGGCACATAATAAGTGCTCAATAAATGATCAGGGCTATTGTGAATGCTTCTTGTGTGCCAGACACTGTTCTAAGCTTTTCTTTGAGTATTAATTATCTCATTTACTCCATATAAAACTCTAGAAGATAGGAGTTATTAGTACCCCCACTTTGCAGAGAAGGAAACCAAGAGTCAGAGAAGTAAATTCATATGCTCAGGATTATAACTCAGAGAGGCTGGATTGGTGCTTAGTTCAGCTCCCAAACATATGTTCTTTTTTTTTTTTTTTAAGAGCCCCATTTTATTTATTTATTTTTATTTAGATTTATTGATTGATTTGAGAGAGAGAGAGAGAAATAGCATGAGTCAGGGGGAAGGGGCAGAGGGAGAGAGAGACAGAATCCTCAAGCAGACTCCCCACTTCACTGAGTGCAGAGCCTTACGCGAGGCTCGATCCATGACCCTGAGATCATGACCTGAGCCGAAATCAAGAGTCAGAGGCTTAACTGATGGAGTCACCCAGGTGCCCCCCAAACACATGCTCTTAACCATCAGGTTCTCAATAAATAAAGAGTAGGAGAAAAGAAATGACAAGAGAGAAAAGGCAAGCTCAGTGAGGTTGAATAATTTGCCCACCAAAGCTGGAACCTGGGTCTGTATGGAATAAAACCTTTGACCATGAGGCTGCATCACAAGAATTGAAGTAGCTGGGCCAGCCAGACTCTGGTTGTGACAGAAACTGAGCCCCAAGCACTAACTCTTTTCATCTTTCTCCTTCCCAGATGCAGACTCGGACCCAGACAGTGAGCTGGATGAGGCAGTAGCCTCCAGCGAGTGGTTGGCCCTGACCAAGTCCCCCCGGGCTTCCTATGGGGGGACTCTGGGGGCTCTGCGTGGTGGCCGTGATGTCGTGGCGGGCCTCTCCAGCACCTGCTGCAAGTGGGGGTGCAGTAAGAGTGAAATCAGGAGCCTCTGCTAGACCAGTGACTTGGTGGCCAGGGGCCCAGGGTCCAGCTGGGCACCTGTCTCTGGCTTCTCATGCATTCATCCATCCGCAAATCAGATCAGGCCTGTGCACTTAGACACAGTCCCCCCCTAAATGACCCTGACCTTTGACCAGCCTATCCTCACCCTGAGCAAACTGTCCCTACCTGGCCAAATGGAAACCTCTGGTCCTGACCCCTGACCTCTCCCCAGGCCGTATCATGTCTTTGCCTAGCCTACATTCCTCTCTGCTTTAACGGTGCCCCTACTCTACCCAAACCGATCTACCCTCATCCAGACCTTTGCCCTGACTGAGTCTCTTTTGCCCCAACTGCGGCCTCTGTCTCCCGACCAGCCCAAATTATGTTCCTGCTCCATTCCAGCCCTCGCCTACCCCTTTCTCCCTGCCTTCAGCCCCTCCCCCTCCAGCCCCACCTGCTGGGGTTCTCAAGCTGGGGACCGTAGAACGGGTGGTGGGAGCCCTGGGTTCCCTTCACATCCTGGGGTGGGAGGCTCGCTGAGGGGACGGATCAGAACCTTCTTCAAGGGGCGCCTGGGTGGCTCAGTCGGTTAAGCGTCTGCCTTCGACTCAGGTCATGATCCCAGGGTCCTGGGATCGAGCCCCGCATCGGGCTCCCTGCTCTGCAGGAAACCTGCTTCTCCCTCTCCTACTCCCCCTGCTTGTGTTCCCTCTCTCGCTGTCTCTCTCTCTGTCAAATAAATAAATAAATAAATAATCTTAAAAAAAAAAAAAAAAAAAAAAGAACCTTCTTCAACCCCAATAATACAAGTTCCAAAGGACTTTGCGGCGTGTGAACGTATCAGAGCGGGGGCGGAGGGGCGCGTTGGGCGCCGCACGGGCTTCAGGGGTTCTCGGCGGCGGAGGCGGCCGCAAGCCCCAGGCCGTCCCTCCTCCCCTTCCGCAGCCCCAGCCGGCGCCGCCGGGGACTTTCCGCCGCGGGGAAGGGGCGGGTCCCGGAGCGCAAGGTGCGGAGGCGGCTGGGAGGGGAGGGGCGCTTCCCGTCGCCGCTCGGCGCTGGCGCTGGGGCGTACAGCCAGGCGAGCGGGGCGGCCGCGCTGGGCCGGGCAGGGCCTGGCGGGACTCGGGCCGCGGTGCGGCGCCATGCGGGGGGCCCGGGCCGCCCCCTTCCGGCCGCGGCCGAAGCTGGTGCTGCTGCCTCTGCTGGTGCTGCTGGGCCACCGGACTCGGTCCCAGGGTGAGTTGTGCAGCGAGCCCGCGGCGGGCGCTCGGCCGCCGCGCTCGCCGCGAGGCTCCACCTGCACCGCGGGTTTGCGGCTTGAGCGCCCCCGCTGCAGACGCCACCTTGCACTTCCCCGGGCGGGGACCGGGCGGAGAGAGGAGTTGGCGCACGGGGTGGCGGGAGGGGGGGGTCGGCCGCGAGGTGGGAGCCCGAGGCCCCGAGGTGGTAACAGGATGTGGCTGGCAGAGGGAGGGGAGGAGTTATGCCCGAAGCCTGGGGAGGGGTGTCCAGCGCCCCCTTCCTGCTGCTCATCCCCGGAAGGGCCCCCCGGATCGCCCTCCACAATTGGCAGAAGTCGGGGGAAGTTCAGGTTCTGGGATGTGCAGGATGGGGGAATTGAGCCGCTTCCCTGGGACCCCCTCCCTACCTCACCCCACCCCCGCCTCCCTCTCCAGACAGCCCTGGGCCACTGCAGTGCTATGGAGTTGGACCCTTGGGCGACCTGAACTGCTCGTGGGAAGCTCTTGGGGACCTGGGAGCCCCCTCCACGCTGCACCTCCAGAGCCAGAAGTAGTGAGTACAACTGGCTGACTTGGGGAAACTGAGGCTTTAGAGGGGTGGCCACTCAGGTCCCAGCATAACTCAGGTTGAGAGGACCCCAATACTTCTGCTCCGCGGCCCTCCCCCTCTCCAGCCCTTCGATTCCAGGTTTCAGCATTTCCTTGTTGTGTGAGCCTAGACCAGTCACCTTCCTTCCCTGAGCCTCTCTTTCCTCCACTGTCAAAAGGTGATAATAAAGAAACTGCCTCCCAGCGTTAGTTGTGAGGATTCAGTGAATTAGGCATTGGCAAAGAGAAATTGCTTAATAATTAGAGCTGTTTTTTATTGCTGTGTGACCTTAGGCAGGTAGCCTAACTTCTCTGAGGGTATAAAAAGATACTTTGGTCTGGTGCCAGGGATGCAGCAATGAAAGAGGTAGACAGAAAGCCTGGCCCTCGTGGAGCCCACAGTCAAGGGGGAGACCTGGGTTCCTTCGTGATGAATCACACCTGCAAACTCAAATTCATTTCAAATTTGGCTAAGTGAGGGAGGAGTAAAGGGGCATTGAAAGGCGGGAACCAAGGTGGGGTGGGTGGGTATTTTTTTTTTTAAGATTTATTTATTTATTTATTTATTTATTTGAGAGAGAAATAGCGAGCGAGCACACAGAGGGAGAGAGAGAAGCAGGCTCCTGCTGAGCAGGGAGCCTGACGTGGGCTCAATCCCAGGACCCCGGGATCATGATCTGAGCCAAAGGCAGACGCTTAACTGACTGAGCCACCCAGGCGTCACTTGTTTTTTTTTTTAATGATGGTAAAATACTCATAAAATTTACTCTTTTTTTTCTCAAGCATTTTTTTTTTTTAAAGATTTTATTTATTTATTTACTTGAGAGAGAGAGAGAGAGAAACAGCATGAGAGGGGATAGGGTCAGAGGGAGAAGCAGGCTCCCTGCTGAGCCGGGAGCCCGATGTGGGACTCGATCCCAGGACTCCGGGGTCATGACCTGAGCCGAAGGCAGTTGCTTAACCAACTGAGCCACCCAGGCGCCCCTCAACCATTTTTAAGTGCACAGTTCAGTGACATTAAATACATTCACATTGTTGTGCAATCATCACCGCCATTCCTTTTCAGAGGGGCCTAGTTTTAAATGGTGTAAGACAGAGGAGTCAGAGAAGGTCCCCCCTTTTTTTTAATGAGATAAATTCACATCACATAAAGCTAACCCATTTTTAAAATATATTTTATTTACTGATTTGACAGAGAGAGACACAGCGAGAGAGGGAACACAAGCAGGGGGAGTGGGAGAGGGAGAAACAGGCTTCCTGCCCAGCAGGGAGCCCGATGTGGGGCTCGATCCCAGGACCCTGGGATCATGACCTGAGCTGAAGACAGACGATCAACGACTGAGCCACCTAGGCGCCCCAAAGCTAACCCATTTTTAAATGAACAATTCATGGGGTGCCTGGGTGGCTTCCACTCAGTGGAACCACTGAAGTTCCACTCAGGTCATGATCCTAGCATCCTGGAATCGAGCTCCATGTCAGGCTCCCTGCTCAGCAGGGAGTCTGCTTCTCCCTCTCCCCCTATTCATCCCCCTGCTCGTGCTCTCTTCCTCTCTCTGTCAGATAAATAAATAAAATCTTAAAAAAAAAAAAAACAATTCAGTGGCATTTGGTACATTCACAGTGTTGTGCAACCACCTCCTCTGTCTAGTTCCAGAACACTCTCATCACCCCAAAAGGAAGTTCCATCCCCATGAGCAGTCACTCCCCATTGTCCTACCCCCCAACCCCCCACTAGCCCCTGGCAACCACTATCCTGCTTTCTGTCTGTATGGATTTGCCTGTTCTGAACATTTCATATAAATGGAATCATAAGAAATATGGCCTTTTGTGTGGCTTCTTTCACTTAGCATGTTTTTGAGGTCCATCCACATGGTAGCAGGAATCAGAACACCCTTCCTTTTTATGGCTGAGTGATATTCCACTGTATGGATCCACCACACTTGGTGTATCCATTCATCTGTTGGTGGACATATGGTTTGCTTTCACCTTTTGGCGATTGTGACTTGCACTGTTATGAACATACATGGACAAGTTCTTGAGTTCCTGTTTTCAGTGCTTTGGGGTCTATGCCTAGGAGTGGAATTGCTGGGTCCTATAGCAATTCTGTGTTTAACTTTTTGAGGAACTGCCAAACTTTTCTGCAGCAGCTGCGACATTTTCCGTTCCCACCAGCAGTGTACTAGGGCTGCAATGTCTCCACATCTTCACCAACATCTGCATTTTTGTTGTTGCTGTTGTTTTATGAAGGCCTTGTTCTGAACCTCTGAAATCTAATCCTTCAGGATATCCTCAACGCCGGCTCGCTGTCACCCACATCTGGTCTGTCAGCAAGCCTTGCCGGCTTCACTTTCTATTTTTTTTTTTTTTAAGATTTTATTTACTTATTTGACAGAGAGAGACACAGCGAGAGAGGGAACACGAGCAGGGGGAGTGGGAGAGGGAGAAGCAGGCTTCCCGCTGAGCAGGGAGCCCGATGTGGGGCTCGATCCCAGGACTCTGGGATCATGATGTGAGCCGAAGGCAGACGCTTAACGACTGCGCCACCCAGGCGCCCCGCCGGCTTCACTTTCTACATTATCCGGAATCTGATACTCTCTACTTCCTGGGCACCCACCCTGGTCCAACCCCCATCCATCATGGCTAACCTGGGCCGTGCAGTTAGTAACCTCCTCCCTCGGGCCCCTGGCTTGCACCTTCAAGCCCACAGTCTGCTCTCCGCCACAGCCGCCAGGGGGCGCCTGTGACCATCTGCGTCAGGCACATCTCTGCTTTGCTCCCCGCCCTCCAGGGGTCCCTCCTCACTCAGAATAAAAGCCCAAGTCTTTCCTGTGGCCCGCCAGGCCCTGCACACTCTGCCTGTCACCTCCCTGCCCTCACCTCCGCCCACTGTCCCCCTCAGTCGTTCCACTCCTGTCCTGCAGGCCTCCTCCTTGCTGTTCCTCAAACACACCAGTGAGTGTACCTCAGGGCCTTTGCACCTGCCGCGGCTGCCCCTTCCTAAAATGCTTTCCCCCAGGTACTGCACGGCTCCATCCTCCTGTCCTTCAAGCCTTTGTTCAAAAGTCTCATCTGAGAGATCTCTCCTGACCACCCTGCCTGAAATAGCACTATCATTCCTCACCACATCATCACACTGCATCCTCTTCACCCTGAAGACTATTCTTTATCATCAATCATATACTTAGGTGTTTTGCTGACTGGGTAGTTGCATAAGTGTAAATGTGCAGACATGTAAGTAGGCGCCAATAAATACAATAAGCAATGCTCACATGTATTGGGCACCCAGCACTGTTCTAAACACAATCCGTTTATTAGCTCATTGATTCCCCTCACTCTCCAGCTCTTCAGCAGGTATTTCTATCACCCTCGTTTTGTAGCTGAGGACACAGGCACAGAGAAGTCAAGTCACTTGTTCAAGGTCACACAGCTCTGAAGCAGCAGAGCTGGGATTTGAACCCAGGCAGAGGAGTTATCATTATGGCTCTGGACCCAACCCCATATACACCACACCCCCCATCCCCATCTCTCTTCTCCACAGCCATTCCAACAGAACGTGGACTGTGGCAGTGCCCACCGGACAGAGCTGGGTGACCATCCTCCGGGAACAGCTTACCATGTCTGATGAACTGCTTGTCTGGGGTACCAAGGCAGGCCAGACTCTCTGGCCCCCAGTCTTCGTGAACCTGGAAACCCGAAGTAACAGGCGGGATGGGGGGTGTGCTTTGTGTGGAGTGGGTGGTCCCGGAGGCCCTGGCTTAATGCATCTGGCCTCCCCTTCCTCAGTGAAGCCAGATGCCCCCCGGCTGTACCCTGACGTGGACTTTTCAGAGGATGAGCCCCTGGAGGCCACTGTCCATTGGGCCCCGCCTGTGTGGCCACCCCATAAGGTCTTGGTCTGCCAGTTCTACTATCAAAGATGCCAGGGGACAGCCTGGACCCTGGTGAGTGTCAGGGGCCCCCTATTCCCCTCCCTATTCCAGGCAGGGCCCAGGGCATCATCCCCAAATCAGAGACCCAGCCCAGAGCCCGTTCCTTACTTGTCCTTATAGTCTGTCCACATTTCCCACAAAAGGCCTGTACATGCATCTTGTTCAGCTAAAAAATCACCCCCCCACCAAATAATCTAAAATTCCATGCAGTCCCAATCCCAAATTCCACTTAGAATTTTTGAGAAACTCAGTAAACTTCCTCTAACATTTTTGTGAATGAATGGAAGGCCTCCAGTAGCTTACAGTAACCTTAAAATAAGAATAATAGAAGACATTTAGAGAGCATCTGCTGTGTGCCAGACACTATTCTAGGCTCCTTATTGAACCCTTACAAGAACTCTTTGAAGTAGGTACATTTTATACCTACCCATTTTACAGATGAGGAGCAAGGCTTGGTTTAAATAAACACCCCAAAATAATGAATAAAGGCAGCTGACGTTTCTGAGCACCTGCTGTGCATCAGGTCCCAGGCTAATTGCATGGATTATCTTGATGAGTCCCTCCCAACCTCCCTTTATAGTAGATGCTTTTATTTATTTATTTGTTAATTTTTGTTTATTTTAAGTAAACTCTACACCACACATGGGTTTCAAACTCAGGACTCCAAGATCAAGAGTCGCATACTCCATTGACTGAGCCAGCCAGGCGCCCCTGTAGTAGATGCTTTTAAGATATCTATTTCATAGTTGGGGAAGCCAGCCTCAGAGAAGTTCAGCACCTTACCAAGCTCACACAGCAAGAAAAATGGAAGAGAACTCTAGAGCAAGGAGACCCCAGAAGGAGTTGGGGTACCAGCCCATGTACTTTGTACAACCCAGAAGTTACCAGTATCATTTCCTCTCCTAGCTCATTGGCCAGAACACAGTCACATGGTCTCACCTAATTGTAAGGGAGGCTGGGAAATGGAGTCCTTACTCTTGGCAGCCACATTCCCAGCTGATACTCAGGGCTTCTATTTCCAAAGGAAGAAGGGGAGAGTGGATACTGGGGATAACCAGTTGTCTCAGCCACCTCATGCAAAACATCACAAGGTAGAAGAGAGTTGTCATTGTGATTATTCATGCAATTCAGAGAAAGGCTGAGAGATGCAGACTTTGGAATCTGACTGCCCGGGTATGAATCTCATCTCCAGCACTCCTCTGCTTCATGACCTTGGGCAAGTCACTTCCCCTCTCTGGGTCTCAGTTTTCCTCAACTGTAAAATGGGGATAATAATAGAATTTACTACTTACTGCTATATGTGACCCATAGGGTGGCCAGTTCATCTCCTCTTTTTGCCGGGGATTATCCTAATTACAAAGCCAAAAGCCCTGTGTCCTGAGAACCCCCACGGTCTGGGACAAAGCAGGATAGTTGGAGCCTGCTGACATGCCAGGTCAAGTACTCTCAACTCAGTCCTCAGCTTCATTGCTCTTGTCCTCTATCCCCCAGCTGGAACCAGAAGTGAAGTCCATGCCCCTGACCCCTGTTGAGATCCAGGACCTGGAGCTGGCCACTGGCTATGAGGTGCGTGGCCGCTGCCGAATGGAGAAAGAAGAGGATCTGTGGAGCGAGTGGAGCCCCATTTTGTCCTTCCAGACACTGCCCTCTGGTGAGGGTCTTCAGGCTTGCCCCTACAACCTCCTCTCTCCTCCTAGCAGTCTGTACCTCTAGGCCACTCTCATTTGTACCTGCTTCCCTCATCCTTGACAGTTCCAAAAGATATATGGATATCTGGGAACCTCTGTGGGACACCAGGCAGACAGGAACCCCTGCTTCTATGGAAGGTGAGCTATGGAGAGCAGTTCCGTTCTTTCTGCGCATGTCAAGAAGCCCCACATAACACCAGTGTAAATGAGACAGCAGTTCCGAGGCCACCTTCTTGAGGTTGGTCCAAGTCTCCAAGGAGGGGATGCTCAGAGAGGCCCTAGCATAGTGCTGGGCACAAAGCAAGCCTCCGGAGATCTGAGCTGAGACATGAAGGTGTGTACAGGTGTTCCAAGAAGGGGGGGGAGCAGCAGGTGCAGAGGTTTGAAAGCAAGACTAGGCTCAGCTCCGTAAAATACGTCACAGTGTGCCAGGGCTTGGATGCTAGTATCGAAATGGCATTAGGAGATCATAGACAATGATGCAGCCATCCTCACTGATCCAAATCTTTTTTTTTTTTTTTTTAAGATTTTATTTATTTATTTGAGAGAGAGAGAATGAGAGACAGAGAGCATGAGAGGGAGGAGAGTCAGAGGGAGAAGCAGACTCCCTGCTGAGCGGGGAGTCCGACGCGGGACTCGATCCTGGGACTCCAGGATCATGACCTGAGCCGAAGGCAGTCGCTTAACCAACTGAGCCACCCAGGCGCCCCTGATCCAAATCTTTTGAACATCTGCTATGTTCCAGGCATTGCTAGGCCCTGGCTCACAGTAAATATGGCAAGGAACAGAACAACAGGGCCCATACCATCTTAGGCCACACAGTCTAATATTAATTTTAACCACACATAACACAGAGCTCTTACTATGTGCCAGGTTCTAGCCTACACGCTCGTTTATATTAACTGAATTTACAGATGAGAAAAGTGAGACACAGAGAGGTTGCTTCAGACCACACAACTGGTAAGTGGCAGAGCTGAGATTCACTGGCTTTCAAACAGCAGTTCACAGCCTCAGTGTCTCTATATCATAATACATACTTTGTAACACCCTTTACTATACTGAAATGAAACACAGATAACCCATTTTTCTCATGTTTTAAAGAATATATAATAAAGTATTCTTTTTTTTTTTTTAAAGACTTTTTTTATTTATTTATTTGAGACAGAGAGAATGAGAGACAGAGAGCATGAGAGGGAGGAGGGTCAGAGGGAGAAGCAGACTCCCTGCCGAGCAGGGAGCCCGATGCAGGACTCGATCCTGGGACTCCAGGATCATGACCTGAGCCGAAGGCAGTCGCTTAACCAACTGAGCCACCCAGGCGCCCCTATAATAAAGTATTCTAATTGTAATATTCTGTAGAAGATAAAGGGAAAATAAGGTAACTGCATATGGCAATTATGCTGTTCACCAATATGAGATGAGCACTAAATCTGTATGTACCTAATAATATAGCTTTAAAATACATATAGCAAAAATTGAACTATAAAGAGAAATATATGAACCCACAACCATTGTGGGAGATTTTAATACACCCCATCAGTGATTCCATAATAGTTGGAAAACAAGTCAAGATCTGGAATATTTGAACATGTGATTAACAAACAACCTAATGGACTCACATAGGAAATGTCAGAACATGCCTTTCTTCCATATACAATTAGGACATTTACCAAAGTCAACCACATGCCAGGCCATAGAACCAGTTTCCAGGGACTTCAAAGTGGTGAGGTGATGCAGGGCACATTAAAGAATTCTCTGATTAGAACACAGATTGTGCTGGGATTTGATCATAAAAACTGTCCAGAAAGTCCCCATGTATCTGAATATTTAAAAATTCAGTGAGTACTGGGGCGCCTGGGTGGCTCAGTTGTTAAGCATCTGCCTTCGGCTCAGGTCATGACCCCAGGGTCCTGGGATCGAGCCCAGCATCGGGCTCCCTGCTCTGTGGGAAGCCTGCTTCTCCCTCTCCCACTCCCCCTGCTTGTGTTCCCTCTCTCGCTGTGTCTCTCTCTGTCAAATAAATAAATAAAATCTTAAAAAAAAAAAATTCAGTGAGTATTAAAACCAGCCCCCGCCCCCCACGATTTTGTCTTAGTACATCAAAAGGAGTTTGGTTCTAGGATCAGTTAACATTATTAGACAGGATATTCATCTACAAAAGTTTTTCCTCTGTACAACAGTGGGAATTTTGAAATCGCAAAGAATTGCACAGGACACAGACTAGGATGAGGCGAGTAAGGCAGGCTCATACAAGTGCAGGGTCAGATCCTGTCTGTACTGAAAATCTTGAAATTTTGTTTGTCATGGGTTGTTTGGCCTTAATTTTGATAGGATAAAATATAATTTTTCTTGATTATTGGGTTTTTGGTATCCTCCCCTTTAATTTTTGCACCCCAGGGGAGTGCCTTACTCACTTCCCCCTAGTTTGGGTCCTGGAACTACATTCTAATGTCCCCTCTGCCAGTGAGCCCCCCTGAGACTTAGTCTCTTCATCTGTAAAGTGTAGCCAACAGAAGTATTTCACTGACTGGTTTGTCAGGTGGACCTCACTGAGATACACAGCATGTGCCTGATAAATGGGAGATACTAACCCCTTCTTCCTCTCGTCCCTCAGGAGCGGGGGCACTGCGTGCAGATGAGCTATAAAGTCTGGTTCCAGGCTGAAGACCAGGAGCTGATCCAGAAGACGGCTCCCTGCTGCAGCTCCTCCATCCCCACCCAGGCCGAGTGGGTCGGGGTGTCTGCCATCAATGCCACGAGCTGGGAGCCTCTCACCAACCTTTCTTTGGCCTGCTTGGGTAAGAGTCTGGAAGTGCTGTGAATTTCCTCCGAGCAGCGCCCTGGAGAGGGAGGCGGGGACTTCCCGAGTAGGCAGCTGAGACTTCTCCAACCCCCATCCAGGTCCCGCTGTCGCCCCCCACGGCGTGGTGGTCAGCCACATTGCCGGCAGCACAGAGCTGCTGGTGACTTGGCAGCGGGGGTCTGGGGAGTTGCAGGAGCACGTGGTGGACTGGGCTCGAGACGGGGATCCCCTGGAGGACCTCAACTGGATCCGGCTTCCCCGTGAGAGCCTCAGCGCTCTGTTGCCAGGTGAGGCCCTGGGACCCCTGGGTCCCTATCCCAGCTACTGCAGAGCAGACTGACGAGTGGACCTGCAGGAGAGAATGTTGTGGTTAAAGTGTCATTAATTCCTGCGAGCAGCGTTCATTGACAACACTCACTACGTCCCAGGCCATGTTCTAGACACTGGTGTATATGCAGTGATAGCAACTGATGTCTACAGGCATTTACCAGCAGCATTAAATTTCTCAAACTGCCTTATGTAGTAAGTTTCTGTTATTATCATGCTCGAGGTAGAGATGAAGAAAAAGGCCCAGGGAGGTGAAGCAACTTGCCCGAGGCCACACAGCAAATAGATTGTAGAACCAGGATTTGAACCACATACTCGGGCCCCTCAAGCCAGGCCCTGAACCATCACACCATTCTCTCTCTCAGCAACATCCCCATCCTCATGGAGCTGACTTTCTTGTGGAGTGAGCAGCCCAATGAAACAAACAACAACAACTAACCATGCACATCTGTAATGTAATTGGGGAAAAAAAATAAAACAGGGCAAAGGGGACGAGGCAGAATTGATATTTTAGAAAGAAAGGTTTTTAGAAGAGGCCTTTCTGGAAAAGCAGTGTTTGAAACAAGACCTGAAGGAGGCAAGAGAGGGAGCTATGAGGAAGTCTGAGGGAAAAGCAAGAGGGAACAGACAGTGCAAAGGCCCAGAGGCAGGAATGTGCCTGATGTGTTAGAAGAACAGCGAGCATGGCTGGAGTGGAATGGGGGAGAGTGGGAGGAGGTGAGGGCAGGGAGGTGACAAGCAAATTGTGCAAGACCTGGTGGGCCACAGGAAGGACTTGGGCTTTTGCTCTGTATGAGATAGGAACCATGGAGCGTTCTGAGCAGAAAAGGGACATGCCCTGACTCAGTAGCTAACAGTTGCTCTCTGGTTGCTCTTGGGGGGAATAGACTGGGGAAGGGGTCAGGGCTGTACCAGGTGGGAACTGAGGAAGGGAGAGAAGCAGGCAGGTTCTGATTGGAGGTCCTGGGGCAGAATTTTGGGGATCCATTTGGATATGTTGTGTTGGAAATGTTCATCCAAATGGAGCTGTCCATGGGGCTGTTGGCTACTGAGGTCTGGGGGCTTGCAATGAGTTCTGGGCTGGGGTGTGGCATTGGGAAGCCCATCCTTGGTGTAAAGAACATGGGGGAGCACGGGAATGTATTGAGTGAAACATTTAGGAAGGAGAGAGTTCTTCCTAAGGAAGGAGGAGCCCCGATTCTGGAAAATTCCCATTTGGGGAAGGCCGGGCAGCATCAGTAGGTTTTGCGAAGGGACTTCAGGAGCTTCACCCACCATGATGGGGGGTATCAGGATCCCACCCAGAGCCTGGTGTTTGAGCATCTCCCAGTCTGGCACCTGCCTTTCCTGGCCTGAAGGCTTTCTCTGGTCCCTGAAGCATTTTGCCTATCTGAGCAGCAGTCTGGAAGTGCTGGTGATTTAAGTCGCCTCAGATGCGGCCCGTCACCAATTATTAATAAGTGTTGGTGGATAACTATCCCAGCTTCCTCCCTCCTTGGATGGGCTCCCAGAGGTCGCCAGTGGGATTGCCTGCACTGGGAACTTGTTCTCATTTACTAGCTGCCTTTCTTTCCTTATTTCACTTCCCAGCTGCCCTGTTGGCATTCTGTGGGGTTACCACCCAGAAAAATTACTGTTACCCAAGTATTTATCTCAGCATGTCCTTCAGGAGACCCAAATGAAGACGCCTACCGAGTAGGAAATGAGTAGGGGAGGGCGAGCCAACTCTGACTGTGTTTGCTCCTCCACCAACCAGGGAATTTTGAAGGAGGGGTCCCCTACCGAATCACAGTGACAGCAGTCTCTCCTTGGGGCTTGGCCCCTGCCCCCCCAGTCTGGAGGTTCAGAGAGGAACTGGGTAAGTGGTGGAGCTGGAGAATGGGGGATCCCCCTGGAACTCTGGCTGGCTTTGACCCATTGGCTTTCTCCCCAGCACCTCTAGCTGGGCCAGTGCTTTGGCGACTCCAGGATGCCCCCCCAGGGACCCCCGCCATAGCGTGGGGAGAGGTCCCAAGGCACCAACTCCGGGGCCATCTCACCCACTACACCGTGTGTGTACAGAGCGGGACCAGGCCTTCTGTCTGCATGAATGGTGAGCTTCACCGCCTCCTGCCCCCACAAGACCCACCCATTAGTCTACCCCACCCATGTCCCCAGATGGGCCCTTTGCCTCCCTCTCAGGCCCTGGGAAAATCTTTGATGGCATCTGTTCCCTAGTGGACAATAACCCTCGTGGCTATCAATATAATGGACTGTCGTTTGACCATTAAAAACGAAGACTCTGATCTATATTTATTGACATTGAAAGATGCCTGTCATGTTTATTAAGTGAAAAGGATAAAAAGCTGACAAAACTCCACAAGGTGGTTCCATTTGTGTAAAATAAACCTGGCACTGAGCAAAGCAGAGGCACAAATATGAAAAGAGATTGCCCACAATGTCAACAGCATTATGTACGATTTTTATTTCTTTTTCCTACCTTTGGGTATAGGCTACATTTTTACTCAGAAGACAAATTCCTTTTTATTTTTTTTAAATTCTTAAAGATTATTTATTTATTTGTTTATTTGTGAGAGAGAGAGTGAGAGAGGGAACACAAGCAGGGGGACTGGCAGGCAGAGGGAGAAGCAGACTCCCCGCCGAGCAGGGAGCCCGATTTGGCACTAGATCCCAGGACCCCGGGATCATCACCTGAGCTGAAGGCAGACGCTTAACCGACTGAGCCACCCAGGCGTCCCAACACAAATTCCTTAAAAATACCTTTATTACCCTTTTTTTCCTAATTACAAAAGTTATCTGTGCTTATTACCATAGCTGACACATTAAAGGAGTATGTCATCAAGAACATCAGCATTCTCAGGGCACCTGGGTGGCTCAGTCGGTTGGGCGTCCAACTCTTAATTTTGGCTCAGATCATGATATCAGGGTCATGGGATCGAGCCCCATGTTGGGCTCCCCCCTTAGCAGGGAGCCTGCTTGGGATTCTCCCTCCCTCCCCCGCTGCTCTCTGTCTCTCAAATAAATAAATAAATCTTTTTTTTTTAAGAATATGCGCAGTCTCATAATTTTGCTGACACTGGTAATGCAGCTTCCAGACTTTTCCATGCATCTATTAACACAGAGATAGGAGTTGTGTTCTTTGAAGATTTTTAACTTTGTATTAGAGAAAATTCAAGCACATACAAAAGTAGGGAGACTAGTATAACAAACCCTGGTGTGCCCACCAGGTGTCAACAGTTACCTACTTTCTGCCAATCTGCTTTCATTTTATCCCCTGCACTTTTTTTCTGAAGTCTTTTTTTTTTTTTTTTTAAGATTTATCTATTTATTTATTTGACAGAGACAGAGAGAGCAGGAACACAAGCAGGGGGAGTGGGAGAGGGAGAAGCAGGCTTCCCGCGGAGCAGGGAGCCCGATGCGGGACTCGATCCCAGGACCCTGGGATCATGACCTGAGCCAAAGGCAGACGCTTAACGACTGAGCCACCCATGCGCCCTTTTTCTAGAGTCTTTTGTGTCATTTTACCCCTAACTACATCAGTGCTTCAGCATTTGTCTCTAACTGATAAAGCCTATTTTTTAACATAATTACTTTGCCATGATTCCATGTTACAAAAGTATATATCGATCATCAGATTAAAATTTTTATGGCTTTATTTTTTAAAAGATTTTATTTGAGAGAGAGAGAGAGCATGTGCATGAATGGGGGGAGGGGCAGAGGGAGAGAAGCAGACTCCCCTCTGATTACAGAGGCTGCTTTGGGCCTCGATCCCAGGACCCTGAGATCATGACCTGAGCCAAAGTCTGATGCTTAACCTTAACTGAGCCACCCAGGTGCCCCATTTTTATTTTTTTAGATTAAAATGTTTATACATATCTATATTATTAAATATATATACATTTATTATTATTATTATTTTAGAAAGGAAGAGAGGAGGGGGAGGGGCAGAGGGAGAGGGAGAGAGAATCTTAAGCACGTTCCATGCCCAGTGCAGAGACTGATGCAGGGCTCAATCTCACCACCCTGAGATCATGACCTGAGCCAAAACCAAAAGTTGGATGTTTAACCAACTCAGCCACCCAGGTGCCCCTGGATTATTATTATTTTAAAAAGAGGACCATGTTATAGACTACAGTTTGGCCTCTCAATCTCTTACGACTGTGATGTTTTGCAACTTTCTTTTTTTCACCTGCTGATTTAGCTTGGATGTCTTTCTATGGCAATAGAGCGCGATCAGTGTTCATGTCTCATCATCCTACAACAAACCAAAAAGCTACTTCGCCTTTTGGCTTAAAAGCAAAAAAGAGGGGCACCTGGGTGGCTCATTCATTAAGCGTCTGCCTTCGGCCCAGGTCATGATCCCGGGGTCCTGGGATCAAGTCCCTTGTCGGGCTCCCTGCTCAGCGGGAGGCCAGCTTTTCCCTCTCCCACTCCCCCTGCCTGTGTTCCTGCTCTCGCTGTGTCTTTCTCTGTCAAATAAATAAATAAAATCTTTAAAAAAAAGAAAAGCAAAAAAGAGCAGTTTAGTAAAAACAAGTAAACAAATATAGTTCTGGGAGGTGCACGTCTTTCCCGTCTAGGGAGAATGTCCATTCACTGGATAAGTGTGCAGATGGGGGATACGATGCTCATTCTTTCTTTTATTTACTTGAATAAATACCCTTTTTGAGTGCTTTCCGTGTGCCAGCCACTGATCCAGGTGCTGGGAATATGGCCCTTGTGGAGCTAACTTTCTAATGGTCAGGGAAGGCCTCACTGAGGGGGTGAAATTTGAGCAAAGACCTGAAGGCGGGAGCCATGTGGATATCTGGGGAGAGTGTTGCAGAGAGGAAACACATGCAAAGGCCCTGAGGGAGGACTTGACTGCCTCCCCAACCTCTTGGTGTGTCCTTCAGTGAGTGGCAGCACCCAGAACATCACCCTGCCCGACCTTCCCTGGGGTCCTTGTGAGCTGTGGGTGACCGCATCCACCATCGCAGGACAGGGGCCAGCTGGTCCCAGCCTCCGGCTTCACCTACCAGGTAGGGGGGTTTGGGGTGGGACTGCCATAGGAGGGGACCTGCTCAATTTCAAGGAGATAGGGGTTTCAGTGAATGAGCAACCTTTTGACTTGGGGGTGGTTACTGATGACGCCTCAGGGGCATTCTGATCCTTCTAAATACTCTGGATTATCAGGCAGTGTGTGTCTCTGACCCTTTCACGCCTCCCTGACCTTAACCTATCCCTGATGACTGTTTTATTCACAAGCCCCACTCCCACCCCAAGATCTCCCCGCACTTAGCCCCTACCCACTCATAAGCATCCCCCCTTTACCTGCCTCCACCCAAGCCCTGCCCCATGCATGATCCTTTCCTGATCCCTCGCCCATCCCTGGTATCCAAATGTTCTTCTGCCCCTTGGCCTCAGATAACACCCTGAAGTGGAAAGTTCTGCCGGGTGTCTTTCTGCTGTGGGGCTTGCTCCTGACGGGCTGTGGTGTGAGCCTGGCCACCTCTGGAAGGTGAGGCTGTCGGACATGCGGGTCTCTTCCCCGGGTCGGGAGGGCAGCTGGACACTAGCTCAGCTTTGTGGGGCGGGGGGTGGGGGGGGTGGCAAGAAGTGAGGGGATGCCTCAGGGCTCTGTGATGTTCCTGGGCTCTGCACTCTGGGCCTGGGTGTCAGGTCACCTAGGTTCTCTGCCCTCTTACCTGCTGGCCAGGTGCCTCCATCTTCGGCACAAGGTACTGCCCCGCTGGGTCTGGGAGAAGGTTCCAGATCCGGCCAACAGCAGTTGTGGCCGGCCCCACATGGAGGTGAGCAAAAAGGCTGGCTTGTCTGGGCCCTCTGGGAAGGTGGCAAATGCAGGGACAGCGGGGGGTGGGTGGCGGCAGGTCGGGGAGAATGGGTGGGGGCAGAATCCCCGTCTCTTCTCTTCCCAGGAGGTGCTGCAGGCTCAGCCCCCCGGGGACTTCCCCATCCTGAAAGTGGAGGAGATGGAGCCACTACCAGTTCCGGAGCCCCCCCGGGCCCCCCCCCAGCTGGACTCTGGCTACGAGAAACACTTCCTGCCCACCCCCGAGGAGCTGGGCCTTCTGGGCCCTCCCCCAGGTCCCAAGTTCTGGCCTGAACCCAGCCCAGGCCAGGAGAGGGGTGCCCATTTGACAGATGAAGACACTGAGGCTCAGAGAGGCTGAGTCCCTTGCCTGAGGACGCCCAGCCAGGAAGAAGAGGTTGAAGGACCCCCTACAAAGGAGGGCCTGGCCCTCCTGGGAATGTACGGATGGAGGAGGGAGCAAAGGACCATGTATGAATGTGAGCGGCAGCTCCCTCCTCCCATCAGCCCCGCTGCCCTCCGCCCGGCAGGCAGCCGGGTGCAGCCCGGGGTTCCCGCTGCCGGCAGACTGCAGACTGCAGACTGCGGGCAGGAGTGCCGCGGGCTGAGGCCCCGACGAGGCCCGGACGGGGTCAGGGCTCCTCCGCACTCTCTCCCCTCGCCCTCGGGCTGGAGCACCAGTGTGCCCGCGATCCAGCTCTAACCGGAGGGGACGGTGGAGCAAGAAGGGGAAAGGAAGCTCAGGCCCCGAGGGACTGCGGGACTCTGAGCCACCCAGAGAAACACACTTCCACACTCGTACAGCTCCTGTAGCTGGGGCACTTTGTCCAGCAGCCGCGTCTGTACTCACACCCACTCCATCTCCGCCAGCAGCAGGAGGGAAGCCCTTTGCTTTCCCACCGGCAGGTGCTGAGCCGGTCCCGTGCCAGCAACACACACTCCAACTGTCCGAATGCCTGAACGTTTTATTTTCAAGTATAAAGGCTTTGTCGTAGACGGGGACCAGGGTCACAGGCAGTGGGAAGCGCCCGGAAGCCCGGGAAGCCCGGGAGGAGGTGACGTGCGGGCCAGCTGGCTCCCGGGGGGCCCCCCCCCGCCCCGGTGTGCCTGGGAGCCGCTGCTGGACGCCCAGAGGCCGAGGTAGCTGTGAGAGGCGCTGGGGCGGGGTGGAGGGCGTGGGCTCACATGACCGCACAGCACTGGCACGTCTTCTGCTTCGGGCCACTTGCCTCTTCACCCTCGGCAGGGGCAGATGGCTCGGGCTGCCGGGCAGGGGCATAGGTGGGCACGGGCCGGGCGCTGGGGTGGGCCCTGGGCCCTTGCGCCCGAAGAAGTGGCTGGCACTCGGCAGGCTGCTGTGGGGCGGGGGTCTCCGCCAGGAGGGGGGTGGCGTCCCCCAAGGGGCCCTGGCCCTGAGCAGGGCTTTGGGGTCTTACAGATCTCTCCTCCAGGGAGCCTTCCTGCTTCTCCTGGGGCTGGGGTTCTTCTTCTGGCCTTGACTCTTCCTGGGCCCCCAAGGGAGCCCCTGCCTCACTCACCTCCTCTGCCTGACATTCCTGTCCTCCCCCGGACTCTCTCTGCTCTTCGGGACTCAGATCTTCCTCGACTGCTTCGGTCTTCTCTGCCTCCAGTGGTTCCTCACCTCCTCCTTTCTCGGCCTCCAATGGCTCCTCACCTCCTGTTCTCTCTGCCTTCAGTGACTCCTCACCTCCTCTTTTCTTGGCCTCCAATGGCTCTTCACCTCCTCTTTTCTCTGCCTTCACTGGTGCCTCAATTCCTCCCTTCTCTGCCTTCAGTGACTCCTCTCCTCCTCCTTTCTCAGCCCCCAGTGGCGCCTCACCTCCTCCTTTCTCAGCCTCCAATGGCGCCTCACCTCCTTCCTCGGCCTCCAGTGGCTCCTCACCTCCCGTTCTCTCTACCTTTGGTGATTCCTTGCCTTCCTTTCTTTCCATCACTAATGGTTCTTCAGTTGCCTCTAGCTTTTCTTCATCTCCTTTCTGCTCTACTCCCAGTGGTTCCTCATCTTTCTTCTCTGCCTCTAGCTCTTCCTCACCTCCTTTCTGCTCTGGCTTGCTTCCTTCCCTCTCCACCATCAGAGACATGTCTGCTCCTTCCTGCTCTGTCCCTGCCTTTTCCTCACTCCCCTTTCCTCCGCCCACTGGTTCCTCTGCTTGGCTTCTCCCTGCCTCCCAGGCTTCCTCCCCTGCCCCCCTCTCTGCCCCCAGTGGACTCTCAGGTCCTCCCCCCTTTCCCCACACCCTTGGCCCTTCCAATCCCTCCACCACCAGCTCCTCCCACTCCTCGCTGAGGGTCACCCTCTCCACCCAAATGAAAGACCCCTCCTCTCCTCCAGAGCCCCCTGGCCCATCAGCATCAGGGCTGCCCCTGGGAATGCCACCTTCTCCAGGAGCTGCTCCCTCCAGTCTCACCTGAAGCCTCGATGAGCCGGTCTGCGCAGCCTTCTGGCCCCTGCCCGCCTCCCCTGTGGCCTCTGAGTCGCTGCTGTCCGGTCCTCCCACCCCCTCCCAGACCACCTCCACGATGCCCCTGTCCTCTGTCACCCAGGAGGGGAGCTCTGGGCAGCTGGCTTCCTGCCTGTCCCCAACTGCCTCCAACACCATCTCCTCTACCTTAGCCTCCAGCTCTGGGCCCGTGGCCCCCATGGCACAGTCCTCTGTGGCCCTCAGCCCCTCCCATACCACCTTCACCACACCCCCTTTGGCCTCATCCACGCCCCCCTTGGATGCTGCCTGCCCCTGACAAGGCTCCTGCTCTGGAAGGGGGCTGGGTCCAGGGCAGGGGCCATTGGCTTCTGAGGAGGCCCCTGCTGCCCCAGGGAACAACCTCAGGGCTGGTGGAGCCCTGACAGCCTCATCTCTGGGCTCAGAGGGGGACTCTGGGGACGTGTCCACTGGTCCAGCTGGTAGGGAGGCTCTCTTGTTCAGATCAGCGTAGTCTTGGGGAGTGAGAGACAGGGGGTGACAGTGAGATTCTGACCCCCCAGATTCAGGCCCCTCTTCTTGGGACCCCCCAGGCCTGAGCACAAACACCCACCTGTGGGACCTGCCTCCACGGTAGGCTGGGAGAGAGGTCGGTGACCCTGTAGGGATGGCAGAGACAAGGTCAGGCCAGCCAGTGTCTCCACCTCCAGCGTCCCTGCATGCGGGTCCCCCCAGCCCATCTCGCTCAGGACCATACCCTCAGCCTTCCTCACCTGTCTTATCACCCCCTGCTCTAATGCCTCATACACAGTAGGTCCTTAATCAATACTGTGCCCATGAGCCATAGCTCTATATTAGGGACCTACTCTGTCAGCTACTGAGGTTGCTGTGGGACAAGGAAGGGACACTTACTTAAGCCTTTTGCTATGGGGACTTACATTCCGGGGGGGTGAGGTATAAACATAAACACAAATAAACAGGTAATGCCAGGGAGTGAGCAAGACTATGGCAGAAAAAATAAAACAGCAGGAGGAAGGGCTCTGGAGGAAGTGACACTGAACAGAGAGAAACCCGAAGGGTAGGAAGAGCCAGCCTTGAGTCAAGAGGTAGGTAAGGGCATTCCAGGCCAAGGGGAAAGCAAGTGCAAAAGCCCTGGGGCTGCAATGAGCTACACAAGTTCAAGAACTAGAAAAGAGGGTCAGCATAGCTGGAGTGCGGGGCGGGGGGCAGGCAGTGTGAGAGTATGAAAATGGGCTCAGGGAGGGGAGTGGAGGGATGGCAAAGCTCCAGGGATCTCCTCCTCACAGTTCTCTGATCTTATCCTCTTTCCAGCCTCCAGGCCTTTACATGGGCTGCTTCCTCTGCCTGAAATTCCCTTTCCACTCCTGCCTGGCTCCCACTCAGATTCAATATAGATGGCACTGCCTCCAAGAAGCCTTCCCTGAACCCCCAACTTCGCTCAGGTGATTCCTCTGTGCTCCTCCCCTGCCCAGGTCTCCCCCCATCACAGACTCTTGGACAGTGAGCTCCCGTGGGCCAGGAATCCTAACTTGCACCTCTCTGGCAAGAACTCCTGGCCTATGCTAAAAACCCAACAAGTGCTTCCCACATCCGTGAACAGGGCTCCTTCTCCCTCTGTGCCCTGAAATGGGCACCTAGGAGCTAAGGTCAGACATCAGGGAGAGCAGGCGACTGTGGAAAAGCTGCACCTCACTGTGGCCAGGCACAAATGTTGCCAGATCTTTGGACTTCAGGGACAACCCAGAGAGCCAGATTTTAATGTGAAGTTGTTGAAAGCCTGTATGTTGCATAGCATGCAGAATATATCTTAATAAAAGTCTACTAAAACAAAAGCCCATGTGTTGGGGCGCCTGGGTGGCTCAGTTGGTTAAGCGACTGCCTTCAGCTCAGGTCATGATCCTGGAGTCCCGGAATCGAGTCCCGCATCGGACTCCCTGCTCAGCGGAGAGTCTGCTTCTCCCTCTGATCCTCCCCCTCTCATGCTCTCTGTCTCCCATTCTCTCTCTCAGATAAATAAATTTTAAAAAATCTTAAAAAAAAAAATAAATAAAACAAAAGCCCATGTGGATGCCCCAGATCACAAGAGCATCTCACGGTGACCCATTCCTCACTCTGAGGCCAAATTCCATGAGCACCCCCCCCCCCCATTTTCCCACAGTATTCCTCATTCTGGCCATATTAGCAATCATATAGGAAAACTTTTCCTCATGCCCGTGCCTGGTGCGAAGCTATGATCTTGTTGACCCGCCCCCTCATCTCATCCAGCTCTGTGCTGTTGCTATTCTCATTTTAGACCTAGGGAAACAGGCTGGAGCAAGGCAAGCGACTTGTCCAAGACCACAAAGCAAAGAAATAGCAGAGGACTCACTGGTTAAACTGCACTTGGAGAAATCCTGCTTCTGTCCCTGCTGGCCGCCTCCCCCCCCCCCCGCCCAGTTTGCTCCCCTGGCCCCTCACCTGTCTGCGCCAGGTGGGCCTGCCTGAGGACTTGTGCTGGGCACCTGTGGATGCACCTTGCAACAGCTGCAGCTGGGATTGGAGTCTGAGGAAGAGAGGAGGCTGCTGGGAGCCAGGCCCCCAGGCTCAATGCTCCCCCGCCACCACCAATCCCCAATTTGCCACTTCCCTGGAGTGGACCTGGGGACCTGGCCTAGCCAGGCTGGCAGGGGCCCGACTCACGTGAACAAGCTGTCTTCCAAGTTCTGGATTCGGGCCTGAGCCTGGCCCTCAGGTGACTGGGGGTCTTTCGAGGCAGACTCCTCCTGCCGCTCCGTCCCCTCAGCCGACCCGTCCATTAGCCAACGCTCCCGGAGAGACTTCCTCTGGGCATGGGAAGGGAGCTCGGGCTGTGCACACTGACTCCCCGCCCCCTCCCCCGATGTAGGGTCCCCTCCTAATCTCCTAGGCTGGGAAGATTTCTTATTGTCCAAAACCACCCGAATGGGACAGACATTTCTCCTTCAGGGTGGGATATGATACATGGCCTCACAGTGCACCCCAATATTGCCGGGTGGGACAGACACCCCATTACCAGCCCATAGCTCTTCCAGCCTAGAACAAAACACCCATCATCTTCCAGAATGGGACAGGCGCCGGCAGAGGTGAAAGCAACGTCTCTTTTGGCCCCTCCCTACCCCGAAGCTGGACAAACACCTTCACTGTCCCCATACTCTTCCCCCAAAGGTGGTACAAATGTCCCCATCACCACCACTACCTCCCCCCACTCTCCCAAGCAGAGGAAAAATGCCCCCCAAGCTGGAACCCATGCCCCCAATTGCTCCCCCAAATTGGACACAGGCTCCTATGATTCCCCCCAAACCGACTCTCACAGACACCCCCACTTCATTGCCCAGGCCGGGGAGGCGCCCCTGCCCGCCCCCAACCTTGAGCCGCTCCACGCGGAGTTTCTCCTCCTCCAGCTCCCGGCGCGCGGCGCGGATCGCCTCCTGCAGCCGCCGCTTCTCCTGCGCACAGAGGACCGGGAGCTGCCCACGGGCCGGGCGGGGCCGCCGCCTCCCTTTCCGCCTTCCCTCCTCCGCGGGGCTCGCGGGGGCTCCCGGGGCTCCCGGGGCTCCCGGGGCTGCGAGCCGGGCGGGGCGGCGGAGAGCACGTCGGGGCCCCGGGCGGGGAGGGGGCTGCGGAGGCGCTGACTCAGCAGCGGGTGGGGGCGGGGCGGCGGGGGCGGGGCCGGCCGCGCCCGGGATGCTGCGGAGGCCTCGCCCGCGCCGAATGGGGGTCTGTGGAAGGGGGCGGGGGCGGGGCCTTGGAATGGGGATCCCCAAGGGGGAGACGGAGCTGTGGGGGTCCGAGATATAGGGTTACAGAGAGGGGGGGTTCAGAGAACTGGAGGTCCAGTTATGGATATCAGAGGGAGGGGTGCCGTCGTGAGCGTCCAGAGAGACTGGGGCGTAGAGATGGGGTCCGGAGAGATGGAGGTGCAGAAATCGAGGGCTGAGAGATAGGAGTTAGTGAGATGGGGGTTCAGAGGGATGGGGTACAGATATAGGGGTCAGAAGGATGGAGGTTCAGAGAGACCGGGGTGTAGAGATGGGGTCCAGGAAGATGGGGGTGCAGAAGCGGGAGATCAGAGACTAGGGATTAATGAGATGGGGTTCACAGAGATGGGATCCAGAGAGATGAGGATCCAGAGATGGGGGTCTGAGAAATGGGGTTCAGACATGGGGTGTTTGGGAGACAGGGGTTCAAGAATGGAGCATCGGAGTGTGGAGTACACAGCCTCACCATTCTGAGGGTGGTGGTGACCGCATAGAGGAACTGGGGAGCAGAGGGGCCTGAGGATTTAGGTGGGGCGCCCCAGGCAGGGCTGGAGCTGAGGGTGCCTTCCCCCTCCTCCCCCCACCACACACTTCACAGCGTTAGGCCTGCTTCCCGGATTGAGAGAGAGGTGAGGAAGAGACCTGGGGCAAGACTAGGAGTGCCCAGCACGCCGGGCGGAGCGCCCTGGGAGGGCTTCACTTACAGCGATGACCTCTAGCCGCTGCCGGTAGAGGGAGCTCTCGGCCATGGGCCTGTGGGGAGAAGGCAGACACTGCGGAGGGTGTCTCCCAGGGCCCCGCCCCGCATCAGGCCACCTCCTGAATGCTCCTCTCTGAGCCAAGATCCCTGAGCTGCTTGGAAACCAACCAAAGCCCAGCATTTTCTTCTACCTCCCCTTTGCAACTGAAAGGAGTTGGGGGAGAGCCCAGGGGTCCTATGGGGGGGCGGGGAGAGCAGAGACCATGACAAGTTGAGCTAAAGCCCTTCCTAGGCCTTACATCACCTCTCTGAGCCTCAGTTTCCTCATGTGTAAAATGGGCTGGAATAACTTGATCCTCACCTTGCAGAGAGGTGCCCATGCAAGGAAACACCCATGCAGGAAAAAATAGGGCATAGTGTTCCAAAAACAGTAGTGTCATTTATTATTAATAACTTTAGTAATTCCTATGATTAATAATGTTTATGGTTAATTATAAGAACCATTCCCAGGCTGTCCTACAGGCACTCTCAAATCCTGCCAGGCCCCTAACATGCTGTGTGTCTCTTTCCAATTCCACACCCTCTCCAATTCCACCTCTCCTCTCCACACCCTCTCCACACCCTCGGCTCCTACCCGGGATACACCTTCAGCCCTGGGGGATGAGGGAGTCTGGGGAGAAAAGTGGCCATCCCACAGTGGACACATGCCATTGCCATGGTAACTGGAGCTACCTGCCAACTCTCCTCCCTGGGAGCAAAGGTTACCAGGTCACGTAGCCTAGTGTTGGACTCTTGAGCTGGGAGGAGGCAGAGGGGTCTTGCTGTTTAAGGTTTAACCTGAGATCCCCCCAACATTGACCTCCTTGCAGCACCCCAGGATCCCCACTTCCCAGCCTACAGAGCCACCCTTTCTGTGGGTTGGGACAGTCATTGTCACATGAACCTATCATCACAGATGTGCATTGAGCACTCACTATGTGCACATGCTTCACAGGCCAATATCTAGAAGGATCTATCTATTTGCCTGTTGTCCCTGACATTTAGCCCAGGGAGGAGGGCACAGGGCAAGCCCTCAAACTTTTATTAATTTGAGCACTAACTCTCTTGCGTGAGCATTAGCCTCATTGCTCAAACTCTGCTGGGGCCTCCCAGATCTTCCCTGGCGACACCATAAAGACATAATAATGCAATGCTTATTACCTATAGTGCTCAAAGTGCTCTAGAGGGTTTCCGCTAGGCTCCCCCAGTCACCTCCGCCTCTCCCTCCCTGCCCTGATCTTGAGACACTGTAGTCCACTCTTTGCTGAGTTGATATTCTGAGAATAAAATCAGCCAACCATTATTAGCCAGTGCATACCATATGCCAGGTGCTGTTAAATGCTTTGTCTCCAGTAATGCATTTAATCCTCCCAATGATCCTGGGAGGCAATCGTACTACTGTCCCTATTTTATGGATGGGGAAACTGAGGCTCCAAGAAGTAGTGGAAAGACTTGTCTAAGATCACTGAGTCAGGAGATCAGAACTCAGGGCTCTTAGGCCCAAAACACTGGGAACACTGCAGGGAAGAGGGGAGTCTAGGCACCCTCTTATGGCAGCCACGAGGCCAGAGATCAGCCTGGGAGTTCCGATTTCAGTTGGACTAGGGGGTTGAAGTCATGCTTTGCAGGGTATCCCAAAGGGAGCCCAGACCCCCTGCTAATAAGTTTGCCCTTGGGGGAGGGCTAAAGTCCCCACCCTCTGCTGTCCCATTCCCAAGATGTAATCTCCCTGCCTCTTCCTTGCTGGGGGGGTGGGGGTGGAGATCGGGTTCCCATTGCTAGGCAACCAGGTTTGTAGTTGGTGAATAATGCAACGGGGGACCCAAAAGAGTGAGCAACCAAATTGGGGTCCCGGGGGAGGGAAACTCTTTTCCGGAACTCTTTACAAACCTCTGGAGCCCCTCCCCCCTCTTACTTTAAAATGCCCTCAAAACTTGAATATTACAATTCTCTGCACACCCCGTTTGATAGTGTTTATCTCCAACTCTACAAGAACAGTGTTCGTGGCCGTGGCCTTTTGTCACCAGGAACACTTGGTGACCATTTCACTAAGCGGGTGATGGTTCCGATTTTGCCATCATCTTTCCCAGTTTGGGAGCTGTTAACTTTTTCTGTTGTATCTCAAGCATTTTTTCCCACCCTGGACACTGAGGGATGTTTCTAGAGGCAAAACATGGCAGTGAGGGACCCTGGCATTTCCTGCCCCCTCCCCAGTCATAGCCCCACCCCCAGGCTGGACTTTGAGCTTGAAGACTGCCTGCAGAAAATCCCTGAAAAAAGGAGGTGGGGGTCCACATCTCCCACCTGACTCTCTGGGGGCGGGGGACATAAAAGCCCATGGGGTTGGCTGCTGAGCTCTCTCCACTCCCCCTAGTGCCCTTAGGAGAGGCCAAGCTGGGGCTCTCACCCCCGGGGAAAGGCCAGCGACCTCCGAGCCCCTCCCAGGCCCTGCCCACCAACCCCCCTGATCCCGGACACTTACATGGGTGTGGCCGGAGACCACATCTGGCTCTGCAGGGCCATCTCTGCCCAGAAGCCCACCTTCAGGTCTCCAAGATCAGGACCCACCACCCGTTTGACTGAAGGTGCCCTGGAGGCTGTGACTTGGCTGGCGGGAAGGGGGTGCTGCAGGAGGGCACTGGGAAAGCTGGTCCAGCTGGTTTGGGCCAGGAGGCAGGAGGCGCAAGCACGAGGCTCGAGGGGGGCTGGGGGCTGGCGGGCAGTTCTGGGGAGGTACTATCAGCTGTCCTGATAAATTATTTACCAGCCACTGGCCTCCTTGCCGCACTTGGCTGCCTCACAGCGAACACACTCACATGCATGGTGCAGTGTGTGGGCGGGAATGGGGCGTCACTGACCCCTCCAGAGAATGGCATCTGTCCTTGGCACCCCAGATGCCTCTCAAGTCCAGCTAGCTGCCCACCAAGGGTCACCAACGTGGCACATCACACGCGTGTGATACTCTTATAAACTACTGCCCTCCCTTCTTGGACCCTGGTTCTTGGGTGGGGAGGGAGGCACTGATCCAGCTAAGGGATTCTGGAGACCAGAGGCTGAGCACCATGCGAACCAGGAGGCCTGGCCCCTGGGTAACTGTGGATGACTTGCCCCAGGTTTCTAGGCCGTGGTTTGCCCTTTGTGAAATGGAGAACTAGATCAAGTGGCCTCCAGGACCCCGACCCCCCTTAGATGCTATAACAGTTAGGGGTGGGGCAGTGGTGAGGAAGGTCCAGAGAACTTCTTACCCAAATCTTGAGGGTCCGTGTTCTATCGTCCCCATCCTCTTCTTAAAGGACCAGCATCCTGTTTCTCTGGTGACAGCATGCCTCATTTACCCTTTGCCGTTTGGGGAAATCATCTCTTACTTTCCAGGCTAGTCTCCCACAGCCCCCAGTCCTTCCCCCATCACAGTCTTGGTCCCGCTGTGCAATTTGACATGAACCTCAGTGAGGAGGGAACTTGCCCCCACTAGGACCCTCCCCATGTGACCAAGGGAATGTGCCTACCTAACTCTTCCCTCCCTCTTTTACATCTTACCTGGGGTACTCAGACCCCAGAATTCCCTGCCCAAATGGTCCTGTGCTTCCTGAATGCAGACCACACAGCCAGGGTGCGCCTCACCCCACCACCTCCAGCCTGACAAGTGGTCAAGGGCAGCTACTGGCGGAGGGGTGAGGATCAAGCTTGGACATGCGGCACGGGGTCCCCAGGGGCAGGCACAAGGCTCCTTGCTATGCAGGAGAGAGTTGAAGGTTGGAAAGGGGGCCAGGCTGAGAGCTGAGGTCTCCCTGAGCCCCACATTCTAGTACAAGACTCCTAGGGATTCAAAATGTTTTCATTTGAACCCGGCCTTCTAAGTCATTCTGAAAGTACATTTGCCATGATAGGAGGAGAGAACATACTTTTTAAATCAGTTTTTAATCGTGGTAAAATACATATAAAATTTACCATTAGTGGCATTTAGTACATTCACAGTGTTGTGCAGCCATCCCCTCTGGCACCGGAATATCTCCATCACCCCAAAAGGAGACCCCACGCCCATGCACAATCTCTTCTGATTTCCCCTCCCCCAGCCCCTGGCAACCACCAGTCTGTCCCTGTAGATTTACCTACTCTGGACATTTCATATAAATGGAATCACATACTATGTGGCCTTTTGTATGTCTGATTTCTTTCACTCAGCACAATGCCTTTTTTTTTTTTTTTAAAGATTCATTTATTTGAGAGAAAGTGAGAGAGAGAGAGCATGAGCAGGGGGAGAGGCAGAGGGAGAGGGAGAAGCAGACTCCCCGCTGAGCAGGGAGCCTGACACAGGGCTCAATCCCAGGACCCTGAGATCACGACCTGAGCTGAAGGCAGACGCTCAACCGACTGAGCCACCCAGGCGCCCTAACTCAGCATAATGTTTTTAAGATCCATCCACAATGTAGTGTGTGTCAGTGTTTCATTCTTTTTATGGCTGAATAATATTCCTTTTTTTTTTTTAAGATTTTATATTTTTAGGTAATCTCTACACCCAACGTGGGGCTTGAACTCACAACCCTGAGATCAAGAGTTGCATGCTCCATCAACTGAGCCAGCCAGGGCGCCTGAATAATATTCCATTGTATGGATTTACCACATTTTATTTATCTATTCATGTGTTGATTGACATTTGGGTTGTTTCTACCTTTTGGAGGAGAGAATGTATTTTTTAAAAAGATCTATTTATTTATTTGAGAGAGAGAGTGCGCACACAAGGGGGAGGAGCAGAGGGAGAGGGAGAGAGAATCCCAAGCAGGCTCCGTGCTGAACACAGAGGCTGACGTGGGGCTCGATCTCACAACTCTGAAATCATGACCTGAGCCAAAATCAAGAGTTGGAGGCTCAACTGACTGCACCACACAGGTGCCCTGAGAATGTATTTTATTTAATTGTTTGTAGTTTGATTTTACAACTGTTAAATAGATGTATGGTATGTAGGCTTCCCTTTGTATTCTTGTCCTGTATTCTACTTTGAGGCAAGATTGTTCTATTTATAATTGTGTCTGTCTCCCAAACTCAACTGCACCTTCCAAGTCTGATTTGTTTCTTTATTCCCAGCACTGGGGTAGGTGCCTCGTACATATCATTAAATAAATCTTAAACGACTGTTATGTATCAGGCACTGTTCTAGGCGTGGGGTAGTTGGGTCTAGGTGTGACCAAACAGAAAATGCTGTAAGGCAGCTCACTTTTGGTGGTGGTGAGGAGAGAGATGATATACAAATAAAGGCAATTAGTGATAACTGGTAACTGCTCTGCAAGTTAACAGCCAACAGCAGGGTTAGGGTTATGGAGAAGGGCTGTGTGTGATGCAGGCTGGGTGATCAGGGACTATTTGTCTAAGGAAGTGATATCTGAGTTAAGACCTGCATAGCAGAAGCCAGCCATGTGATGAGTCCTTCCAAGCAGGGAAAAAGGCAAGCAAGCGCAAAGGCCCTGAGGTAAGAGTGCACTTGGGGGGTTTGAGGGAAGCACAAAAGCTGTAATGGAGGAGTGAGGGAGGGAGTGTCCGAAGATGAGATCTGAGAAGTGGGCAGGACCTTCTGGGTCAGAGGAGGGAATTTGGATTTTTCTTCTGAGTGTGGTGGGGAGCCATTGGAGGGACAGTAAAGTGGCTGGGATGAGGGTGGAGAGATGTGAACAAATTCAGAATATGTTTTGGGGGGCAGAGCCTGCAGATCCAACAGCAATCCAACATATGGATGGATTGGAGCAGGGCTGAGAGAGAGAGGTTGAGGTAGATTCCCAGGTTTGGGGCATGAAAAACAGAATGGATAAGTTGCCACACATAGTGGGGAGTAGAGTTGGGGGGATCCGAGAGTTCAGTTTTGAAAGTGTTCAGTTTGACATCTATTACACTGAAGAGTGTTGAAGATGAGTCCAAAACCCAGAGAAGTCAGAGGTAGAGATATAAATTTGAGAGACATCAGCACAGAGATGGCATTTAAAAGTATGAGGTTGGGGGACGCCTAGGTGGCTCAGTCGGTAAGCATCTGCCTTTGGCTCAGGGCATGATCCCGGGGTCCTAGGATCAAGTCCTGCATGGGGCTCCTCCTCTCCCTTCTCAGCAAGGAGACTGCTTCTCCCTACTCCGGGAGAGAGTAGAAGGAGAGGGTGGGAAGGAGGGAAGTCACCAGGGTGGGCAGAGAATTGGGGGAAGGAGTGACCAGATAGTTGGATTATTCCCGAGGCTGTTTAGCGCTCCCCCCCCTCTAGGTAACTATATCTTTCTTCCTGGTCACCCCAGAATGGTGGAGTGGGGCCAGAGGTCAGATTTGGAGAGAGCCTGGGGAAGAGTGGAAATTGCCTTTAGGGGCGTCGGTCCTGCCCTTGAACGCCACGGTCTGGCGCCACCTGTGGGGAGCTGCTCCGTACCGCAAGCCTGGATACCTCTCCGGGGACTTTCCAGCCGCCTGAGCCCAAGGTGACCGCCTTTCAACCGCAGCTGCTCCGCTAAGCCCTGGGCGCGCTGTGTCCGTCCCTCTTCCCTCAATCTGGAAGTGCACTTGGCCGCGGGCGCCTCGAGGACTTTTCCAGGAGGGGTGAAGGGAAAGCAGCCTCTGAGCTTGACGCGGGCAGTGGCACACCTCTCGGAAAAGGCCTCGCTGAGCCCAGAAACCCGGAGGGAGCCTGGGGCGCGCCAGGAGAGGGCTCCTGGCGCCCCCTCCAGTCTGAGCCGTACGCTGCAAGGGTGGAATGTGGATGGACCGCCCCGAGGCCAGGGGCGTTGTGGCCCGCCGGCCTGGGCGGGGCTAGCAAGGCCCCGGAAAGATGGCTTTGGAGGACACCAGCGCCAGAGGGCCAGCGGTTCAAAGGCCCAGCCCGAGGCACCGTTGGGGTCAAGCCTCCTGGGAATGCCGGGGACGTGGGAGCGAAAAGGTGCCAGGGTGGCGCCCCGAGAGTTGAACGGCACCCAGACTTGTCTCCCAGCTGGCGGGCCGAGTCCAGGGAAAACCTCTTACAAGAAGTCTGGTGCCCCGAGCTGACCTGAGGCGCGTCAGAGCACGAAATGCGGTGCCCTGCCGAGGCCCCCGTCCCCTCCCCGCCCCGAGGGCGGGGCCGTAAGTCTTCCCTGCAGGTGCAGGGGGCGGTGCCCGGCCCTGCCCCGGGGGGCCGTTCTTGGAGGCCAGGGGCGGGTCAGAGAAACGGCCGAGATAGGCGACGCCTTGGAACCCGCGGGCGGTGACTGTGCCACAGGTGCCGCGCCGGGCACCGTGGTCTCAGCTCTGGGCATCAAAACTCCGGCGCTGGAAACTAAGTCTTCCGAGCTGCTCCCAACCCTGGACACCGAGGCCCCCGGGCCAGAGAGCGGAGCCCTGGGGTCGTCCGAAGAGCGGGGCCCCGAGACCCCCGGGTCAGCTAAGTCCCAGGGCCTGCCGCAGAGCAGGACGCTGAGGTCCCCAGGCCAGGAGGCAAGGTCTCCGTGCCCTCCGCAGAGCAGGACGCGGAGAGAGCTGAGCAAGAGAGCGAAGTCCTTGGGCCATCAGCGGGGCTGGACGCAGAACGCCCCGGGCCGTCTGCAGCTGGGGGGGTTTGAGAGTCTCCGGCCCGGCAACCACGACCCCGAGCCGTCTAAAGCGCGAAGCGCGGGGTTCCCGAAGCAGTGTCCCCTTCAGGATCCCTAGACCTTCTCCTCGGGGTCAGATTCCGAAGGCCCCCTGCAGCATTTTCTACTGCGCCCGAAGACCCCCCGGCAGGCCCCCGAGGAGCCGTTCATGGAGACGCCCATCGAGCGAGAAATCCGCCGCAGCTGCGAACGCGAGGAGAGCCTGCGCCGGAGCCGAGGCCTGAGCCCTGGCGGTGCAGGCCGAGAACTCGTCGAGCTGCGCGTGCGGCCGGTGCTCAGCCTGCCCAGCCCCGGCCCCGCGCTCCCGCGCGCCTTGGAGCGCGCGCGGGCGGGCGCGCAGATGCAGCGAGACATCGAGCGGGAGGCCCACCGTCAGGCGGCGCTGGCGCGCCCCGCAGCCCCAGAGCGGTGCGCCCGGCCGCCGCCGCCGGCGCTCGGCGAGCTCAAGCGATTCTTTGAGGCCGCCGGGGGACGCGGCTCCTCGGCGGCGGCTGAAGGCGGCGCCGTCCCGCAGGGGCTGCCCGATCCCGGAGGCCGGCCGCGCTCGGCCGTGCAGGGTCGGTGCCCGGTGCTGGCCCGCGCCCCGCCGCGGGTCGCGCGGTCGCTGCTGGAGCAGGAGGTGAGCGAGGCGCGTGAGCGCGAGCGGGAGCTGCAGCGCCAGCGGCTCAGCGTCTACGGCACCGCCGAGTTCAAGGAGCCCGCGCCGAGCCTCACGGGTAAGCCACGCGCGCCCTGACGCTGGGGTCTGTCGGGGCTCCAGCCGCCCTCACCGACTGCCCAACTCCAGTGCCCTCTCTTCTGGCCCTCAGGTACCCCCTCAGGGCTCCCAGACTCCTGGGACAGCCCCCCCAACTCTCCGTACCCTGCCCACGCTTCGGGGCTGCCCACTCCCTGTGCTCCACCCCGTACTCGGAATGGTCGACTCCCGAATCCACCTCACCTAGGCTCTTGGTGAGAAAGGGAGGAGGATTCTAGGTGTCTTTATCGGGTTCCAGGGAACCCTGCTTGGGTTCTGGCACTCCTGGAGCCTCCCTCTGAATTTACGAGTTTCCACCTCCCCACTCTGGGTTCGCCTCCCTCCTCCTTCAGGTTGCTCCCTCCTTCAGAATGGAGGCTTCCATGGGAAGCAGGGTAAACGCCTGTGTGTTTAAGGGGCGCGGCCGGCCTCCCTGGTCCTGGCCGCCTCCAGCTGGTGACAGGAGGGGCAACCCCGGCTGAGCGCCCCTTCCCCCGCAGCGAGCAGGGGCGACGGAAAGCTGGCGGTGACCTGGCCTCCCCGCAGAAAGGCGTCTGAGAGCGGCTTGGAGCAGGTGGGAGCCCCTTTCCCCCTCTTGCCTCAAGCGCTAGTCGCTCGTCCCTCCCCCCTCCTCCTCGGGCGCCAGGGTGCTGGGTCAGGGAACGTGCACCTCCGCGCCCCCTGGGAAGTCACTCTGGGCTAGGACACAGAGTTCTGGGCACGGCTCGGGGGTGACTAGGATGCGGTAGTCCCGGGGCCCAAACCGCCCCACCCTGTGCCTGGGTGTCCCTCCTGCGGTGCGCGGGTGCTTAAAGTCAGCCTTCCGTCTGGCCTCCTCTCCCCAGGAGGAGCGGAAGCCTTGAGGTTCCAGCAGGCTGGGACCCCCTGCCAGAGGTAACATGCATATCAGAGGAAACTGGTAGGGGTGCCCAGGAGTGCTCTCGGAATCCACTGAAGGCCTGGAAGAGGGCCAGCCGTCTGCGCTGGGGAAGATGAAATCGACCAGCTCCTCCTTGAACCTGACTGTGAAATTGACCAGTCTCTTCTATAAAACTGTTAGTCCCGGCTGGGAAACACTACGATTCTCAAACCGCCAGTGAAACTGTTCAGCCCTCCTCCGCCTACCTGCAAACCCAACTGGCCTCTCCCTCTGGCCTTTGCGATTAGAGGGCCAGGGTCTCCGCCTCGGCTACCCTCACTCCCCAGTAAAGCCCCTTCTTTCTGGGCAGTTCAGGCTGTTTTCCTCTGGGTCCCTTCGTCTGGGCTGCGGCTGGAGCGCGCCTGGCGGAGGAAAGCCTGAGAAAGCTGCAGGAGGCGCGGGCCAGAATACAGAATGTACCCCTTAGCGCCCTGTTCTGGGGCTGCTGGTCTCCCCCGGCCCGGCCCGGGTCTTGGTGCCCCCTGGCGGCGCGGGAGCGAACTGCGGCGTTCGGACAAATGAGCTCAAGCCCTTCCTTTTTCCAGACCTCGTCAACATTTATTGGTGCCAACTGCACGCCCGGAGCCGGGCGCGGGCTAGACAGAGGTGATAAGAGGTTGTTCCTGCCCTGGGGACGTAAACAATAGCTACTAAAAAAAGGCGGTGGTGGTGAAGGGTACAAGCTTCTTAGCAGGGCATACAAGGCCATTTATAATCTGTCCAGCTATCGCAAACTTCACATGCCCTATAGACCCCAGACAGATATTGAGAGAAATGGGGTGTGCTTTAAAATGCCTTGTTTCAACGGGCAGGTAAGTGTTCCTCCATATCAGCAGTACTACAAATGAGTGAACTCAGTGGTGCCAGAGCTTCTGATTTCCAAAAGCACATGGGTGGGGTGGGGGGGAAACCCAGCCTTTAAAAGAGAAATCTAGGGGACCCCGGGGGGTTCAGACCGTTAAGCGTCTTAGGTTCAGGTTATGATCTGCGGTCTGGGGATCGAGCCCCATGTCTGCCTTCCCACTAGGCATGGGAGTCTGTATCTCCCCCTGCCCTCCCCCTGCACACACACTCTCTCTCTCAAATAAAATCTTAAAAAAAAAAAAAAAATCTGAACTTTAAACGTGACTTTTGGGGCGCCTGGGTGGGTCTGTTAAGTGTCTGCCTTCGGCTCAGGTCATGATCCCAGGGTCCTGGGATGGAGCCCCACGTCGGGTTCCCTGCTCAGCAGGGAGCCTGCTTCTCTCCCTCTGCTGCTCCCCCTGCTTGTGCTCTCTCTCAAATAAATAAAATATTTTAGGGGTGCCTGGGTGGCTCAGTTGTTAAGCGTCTGCCTTCCGCTCGGGTCATGATCCCGGGGTCCTGGGATCGAGCCCCGCATTGGGCTCCATGCTACACGGGGAGCCTGCTTCTCCCTCTCCCACTCCCCCTGCTTGTGTTCCCTCTCTCGCTGTTTCTCTGTCAAATAAATAAAATCTTTAAAAATAAATAAATAAATAAAACATTTTAAAAATGTGACTAGAAAACTTTTTAAATTGGGTGTGGGGCACAGGAGGTGCAACAAGCAGCACCTGTTTGCAATAGAGCTCGTAGCTGTCAACTGTCAAGCCCGCCTTAATTTCTCTCCCAAGCCCTCAATTTCTCTCCCAAGCCGAGGTTCAAGCCCCCCTTTCATGGGGTTCAAGAGAGTCTGTGAACACCCTAAGTTGAATAAGTGTATCTGTGCAGTTTTATTCTGTGGTTTTAGGGTACAAGCTTCTTAGGCGGGCACTGAGACCCAGAGAAGACCCAGGAATGTTTTAGAATCATTGTTTCAACGCTTGGATCTGTCCAGCTCTTTATGCCCTGGGTCTAGCAACAGGCTTGATTCTCCATAGGGAGGACAAGTAGCTAATGAAGAATGAAATAATGCTCACACAGCATTGGACCCCAAGAGAAGCTCAGTCTAAAAACGAAGCACCTGGGGTGCCTGGGTGGCTCAGTCGTTAAGTGTCTGCCTTCGGCTCAGGTCATGATCCCAGGGTCCTGGGATCAAGCCCCGCATCAGGCTCCCTGCACAGCCAGGAGCCTGCTTCTCCCTCTCTCACTGTCTCTCTCTGTCAAATAAATAAAGTCTTTAAAAAAAATAAAAATAAATAAAAACGAACCACCTGATCCCAGCATCAGCACACTGAGTGCATACTTGATGGTGACTCTGCAGAGAAAGCAAAGATCCAGCACTGTCAAGGTGGGAAATGGAAACAGCCAGAGCTGATTCTTAATTCCCAGCAGGGGAGCTAAGAACGAAGCCTGTAGAGTTGACAGGACTACTAAAGTGTGGACCTGGGTTCTCAACCTTTCCTGCAAATTGAAATCACCTGAGGCACCCTTATGTCGAGTAAATCAGAATCTGACGGGAAGCTTGGCCTCACTATTTTTTTTAAAGCTCTACAGGTGCTTCCCACATGGAGCTAAGTTTGCGAACCATCATGTAGGTAGCCTTATGCTAGCAGTTCTCAAAGTGTAGTGCTTGGACCAGCAGCCTAAGGATGGCTTGGGAACTCCTCACAAACGTATTCTTGGGCCCCATCCCAGACTTAAAAATCAGACCCTCCACATGATTCCATGCTAAAGTTGGAGAATCATGGTTATCGAGAGTTCACAAGCAACAGGATTCAGGAAATCAAGCCTGTTTCCTTCCTCTCCCAGTACTGCCACCATGCACCAGAAACCTTTGGGGTTTTTTTTAAGTTTTTAAAAAAGATTTTATTTATTTGACAGAGACACAGCGAGAGACAGAACACAAGCAGGGGGAGTGGGAGAGGGAGAAGCAGGCTTCCTGCAGAGCAGGGAGCCTGATGAGGGGCTGGATCCTAGGACCCTGGGATCATGACTTGAGCCAAAGGCAGACGCTTAATGACTGAGCCACCCAGGCGCCCCCAGAAACCTTTAGTTTTAAGTGGCCTTAAGGGAGACTGTCTAAAGCTGTGTGGCTGGTCTGAACTGAGATGTGCTGTAAGCATGAAAGACATCAGATTTCAAACTTACTACCCAAAAAGAACTATCTCAATAATTTCTTGCATTGATTATATGTTGAAATAATATTTTTGATATGTTGGGTTAAATAAAAATCACTGGGGCGCCTGGGTGGCTCAGATGGTTAAGCATCTGAGCCTTCTGCTCAGGTCATGATCCCAGGGTCCTGGGATCGAGCCCCACATCGGGCTCCTGGCTCAGCAGGGAGCCTGCTTCTCCTTCTCCCTCTGCCTCTCTCCCTGCTCATGCTCTGTATCTGTGTCTCAAATGAATAAATAAAATCTTTAAAAAAAAATCACTAAAATTAACGTGCTCTTATTTTTTACCTTACCTTTTTTAATGTGGTTACTAGGATGTTTGAAATTACGTATGTGACTCGCACTTGTGGCTCAATTTAAACTTCTTTTGGACCAAGCTAAAGAGTCTTCGTGTGTGTGTGTGTGTGTGTACTTAAAACCGTATTGGGAAGCTTCAGAATCCCCTTGAACTCATTCAGACTAAACAATCTTGATGAAGTCAGAAATTGTACCCCCCCCGCCCCCCAAAAGATCAAGGGTTTTGGTGTCCAGTCGGGATGATTAATTTTACCTCTCATGTCCGTTTTTGTCATCTTAAACTGGGGCTTGGAATACTAATGTGCCAGGGAGTTTTAGGTAAGTGAGTGCTTTGCTCAAAAACATAAAGGTTAGGTCTCTCCTCTGACTCCAAAAATGCTACAAGGAACGAAAAGGCATGCCTGAAAGGGGGTAACTCGCAGATGAGTGACTGCCGGGTCAGGAAGAACACCCTTCCTCTCGCAAGGGACCAGCTGCAATCGGGAAGACCCGGTTCAGGTTCGAGCTCCGCCGCTTGCTCGCTGTAGCTTTGAATAGGTGAGTTTACCTCTCTCAACCCGGGTCTCCTTTCCAGTCCAAGGTCGGAGTTAAGGTTAGAGATCCCAAGCTGGAGTTCCTTACGGCTTTCCCACCCGGCGCGCCCCGAACACCCTGCGGAGTAAGACGACCTATCCACTCCATGACCCAAAAGCTGGAAGAGGAAGATTTGACTCTGGCCTTTAGGAAACTGACCCCCGGCCCTTTCTGGGGCACGTCGGGAAAGTCTTTTCGGTAAAAAGAAGTCACTTCCGGGTCAAAATACGAGAGTGGGCGTGGCTCCGGGGTCCCTTCCCCCATTGGGCATTGAATTTCCCGGCTACCCAAAACTTGCGGTTTTTTGGGTTCCGGTTGTTGACAGGCATTGCTACTTCCCTTTGAGCTTCATGTGCGCCTCTGCGCATGCCTTGAGCGCTTGTCCGCCAGTCGAGGGACTTTGGTTTTGTTTCAAAGACTACATTTCCCAGAAGGCCGCGCGAGGGGGCGGGGCTCCCTCGCCCCAAGGGGTGGGGCGCGGCACTGCGAGCGGACGCTGAGCCTGTGACCTCTTTCTTTCTTTTATTTAACGCAAAACTGGTGTGTCCATGTGAAGGGCTCCGCGGCCGGGCCGGACCCGGTGCGGACTGGCCAGCTCGGCCTGGCCCCTTGGAAGGCGAGGCCGAGGTGCACTGGGAGAACAAGTGAGCCCCTCCCCTGCTCCCTCTCCTGGAGTTCGGAACTGTCAAGCTCCAGCTCCCACCCTCTCTCCAGGCTCAAGACCCCTGCGCGGCCCACGCCGCGAGCCCGGCCGTGCTCGGGGGCCGGGCTGGGCCTGCCTGGCCCGTGAGGATCTGCACCAGCAGGTCGGTGGCCAGCATGTGCGAGGGCTCCTCAAAGCCGATGGTCAGCAGCTGCTGGTAGTCCCCAGGCGGCTGCGGGCACAAAATCCTGGGGGCCGGGACAGGCCTGGACGTGAGCGCCCCCTGCTTCTCGGGAGCCCCTCCTCTCGAGTGAGAGGCTGTGGCTGAAAGAGGCTTTGTTTCAGCTGGGGGTGGGAAAAACCCTGGGGGTAAAGTGGTTTCCTTGTTGATGAGAAACCTAGAGGCTTTGGGAGGCTGAACAGCTCTAGCCCTTACCTGGCCTATCACCCAGCTAGCTGTGTGTCCTTGGGCTGGTAACTTAACCTCTCTGAGCACCTGTTTTCTTTGTAAAATGGGGCTTAAAGTATAGACCTCAGTGGGTTGTTACACAAGTCTGCATAAAGCACTTTTCAGGGCACAATAAAATGCTATCCTTATTACCAAGGGAAACAATGTTGGGGGAGGTGGATGGTCTTTGGTGGGGTTCTGCCCTTCCCTCCAAGCCCCAAACCCACTTTGCCATCGCCCTAACTCCTACCATGAATAAAGGTCATCCTCGGCAGGTCCTAGCGGCACCCATCGGCCAATGGACCACAGCTTCTGGATCTGGGGGCACGAATTGGCCGGACTCTTGCCTGTGTCTTCCCATGTATCTCGATAGCACAGGAAATAGCTGGAAGGGGAAGGGGAGGGGGTGTCAGTTAAGAATGAGCAGTTTCCTAGCTTCTTTTGAGGGCTTTGATTTTGGGGGTGAGGGAGAACTCCTCAGAATTTGCCCTCAAATTCTCATGTAGGGATGTGGCTCAACACGGAGGCCTTTTCTCCCTGTCAGCCTACTTTTAAGATGAGGACTTTTATTTTAATGGGAGGGTGAATTTTTTTTTTTTTTTTTTTTAAAGGTGGGGATGGCCTTTCAAAGATCTTTGGTTTCCTGCTTGGCTTTCCATGCTTTGGTGGTGGTGGTGGTTCAGAGGCCCACACTGGCATTCTGCAGAGAGAGGGGAGAACTCTGGTTCTATAAGGGGACTCACTAATCCACATGGGAATCTTGCCCCCTGCTGCTGGGCTCTGGGGTGGTTTCCAGGTTCCAACGCATCTTCTTGTAGAGGTATCGAGGGAAGCGGCTGGCGGTGTAGGCGGCTGGGGCGCAGTATCTGAAGATGGACACCTCATGAGAAGGGCTGATGGAGAACCTCCCGCAGAAGAAACAGGAGATACTGGCGGGAGATGGGAGAGTGGGGAATGAGGCTGGGCTCTGGACTCCACCCTCTCCCCACCCCCATTCCAGTCTCCTACCCTTTTACCTTAGGGGGTCAGTCTCCTCCAGGTCCACGAACCCGAAGGAGGCATACATGAGGACCAGCTGTTCCAGGCGCAGGGTCAGCTGTTGGGAGATTTCCAACAGCTGCATGGAAGAAGGGGCATAATGAGATTAGCTGGCCTGCCAGGATCGCCGTCCCCCCATCATCTCCCACTCCTGAGGGGTGAAGAAGGGCATAGGGTCTAGGAAACCTGCTCCACACACCCCCTTTCGGACCAGCTCCTGCAGGGCTCCATAGATGGGGGGCACACTCCGTGCGGCTGCCTCCAGGTAGAGAAAGTAGGGCTCACACATCTGTAAGAAGGTGGGCATGGCCTTTGCCATCTGTTCCTTCTGCACTCGGTCCCTGCTCAAGGGAAAAGGGGGCCTTTGCCTGGAGTCCCTCACTCCCCGTTTCCCATTCTACTCACTGCTGACTTGGACCCCTGTCCTGGACCCCCTATTAAAAACTCCCCCCGTGCCAGGCCTTTCTCAGAGTATCTTCCCGGACCATTTGCATCAAAACCATTGGGAACACTTGTTAAGATGCTGACACCTGAGTTCTACGACTGACTTTCACTCAAAATTTCCTGTAGGGTGGAGCCTAGAAATCTAGGGTTTAAACAGCCTCCCCGAGGATTCCAATGGACACTGAAGTGTGAGAATTCCAGTCCCTTTCCCCCTGGGCTGGACATCACACTATCCTTTGGTGGTGGGGTGGGGGTGGGGGTCTCCTCACACTGGTAGCCGGTTGGGCCAAATCTGGCCCAGATTGGTTTTGTTTAGCCTGCCCAGGGTTCAGAATGTAAGCCAACAGTTAAAAAGTGGGAGTCCTCGTGAATTGGCAGCCCCCCCGGGGCCACATAATAGCAGGCGCTCCCTAACCCCAAATTTCTACACAGTTCTTACCACTCTTCGAAATGGGAGCCCCAATCAGCTGGCTTCATTTACTGTCTCTGGCTCCTGATGCTTTTGAGTTTGGGAACCTAGCATGTGTTGCCTATCCCATTACCCTCTCCTCAGTCTCATTCTCGGGACCTAGGACCCCGTCCAGCATCACCTGTAAAGCAAGTAGCTCTGGAAATCATCTGCCTTCTTGAGCAGGTAGCGGAGCTGTTCGGTGATGGGGCTGAACATGGTGTCCAGGGGTAAGCGAGGAGGGGCGGGCCCTGGGCCCGGGGCGAGAGGCTCGGGGGAAGGAGTAGCGGTAGAGGCCTCCGGCAGCTGCCCCTGGACGTCCTCCGGTTCTGCCTCCGGTGGGTCCCCAGGCCCGCCAGGGGACGCCGACCAGGAGGGGTCTCCGCAGGGCTGCGCCCCAGGTTCCAAGTCATCCGGGGGCGGTGTTTCCCCCGGGCCCGGGGGGAGCGGCTCCACGAACCACTGCTCGGTAGCCATCGTGGGGTCGCAGGCGAGGGCCGCAGCTCTTTAAGCCTCCGCCGCTCACGTTGGCCGCGGGTTCGACCCCGCCCCGGGAACCTCGGACTTGCCGGGACTGGGAATGCGGCCCCCTTCCAACTCGCCCCTGCCTCGACCTCTCTGCCGGCGCGGCGCCGCGCGGAGGGAGTTCGCCTCGTTTGAATTTCAACACGCGGGAGGGGCGCGCCTCTCCGGTCCGCGCTGCGCGCCCGCGGGGCCCCGCGCACATGCGCGCTCCCGGAACCTGGCTTGGGGGACGCGTCCGAGACAGGCGACCTGGGCCGGTGCTGGCGCGACCCTGTCCTGGGGTGCGGCCCGGGGGCCAGCGCCTTTCTCCTAGGCAGTTTCCTAGGGAAGAGGGGTCTTTACCGAGCTTCCAAACCCGGAGCGCAGGTACATAAAGGGAGGACGCCCAGGCCTCGTAGTCTGACTCTGGCCCCAGAGGCTGTATATATTTTTTAAAAACTCTAATGGAGTTGGGAAACTGCCTTAGAACTTAGTAGGGACTTGTGATGTCAGTAGCTGTTTCAACTGATAACAATCCTGAAAATCTTCACTTGGAAAAACGTGCCGGTCCCATGATCTCATCCCTCCTGTTCCTTTTATCGGCGAGGACCGAGAGGCCTGAAGACCCTACTGTGGGTCCAGAACAGACCCCTGCGCCCCAATCGTTATAGACTAGATTCTTGGTGGCGTGCCGAGGCTGATAGCCAGCTAGGAAGCCAAATACATTAATTACACTTAAAAAGACTCTGGGTAAAGAACTCAGACAGGTGTCTGACCCCACCCTGTGTGACCCTGAGCAAGCATCTTTGCTGTGCTGAGCCAGTTGCCTCCTCCAGAAAGTGGTGTTTTATGAGCTCTCTGCCAATGGGGCTGCAGAGAGAACAACCGAGAAAATGCTCATAAAGCCTAGTTAGCTGCTGGTCACTCAACAAATATTTGAGCGCCTACTGTGTGCCTGGGCACTGTCCTGAGCATCGGGAGATGACCCAACTAAGCAAATATTCCCGCTCTCCTGATGCACGTCCTGTCCTAGCTGGCTGTCAAGCAGCCCCATGCACTACCTGTCTTCCTCCTCAAACAATTTTGTCTTAACCCTAGACTCTCCCAGGAGGCCCATAGCTCTTCAAGCCCCTCCCCCCATTCCATTCATAAAATCGAACTCCTGGCATTTTTTTTTTTAAACTTTATTTAAAAAACCTTCGGTGCAATATTAAAAAGCAATACAGCCAGCTGGAGCAACAACCAACAGAAAGAAAGGAGAGGGTTAGGGAAGACCCAGAGACCCCACCCCAGCTGTTCCCAGGGGCAGACAGGGATGGGGCATGGGTGGTGGGGGAGAGAGGAAAGGCCACCCACCAGAATGAACAGGCAGAACAAAACATTTATATAGGAAACATCTGGCTGAACTGAAGAAGATCTAGGGGAGATAGGAAGCCCCCGTTTTTGTTTTTTGCTTTTTTTCTTCAAAAATGTCCTAGACTCGAGGGGAGGGCTGGCCTCCTGGGGTGAAATGAGCAGGCCCTGTCCCACCCCACACTCCTCTGTCATGGAGTACAGGATGTGCTGGGGGCCAAATGTGTGTATGCTGGGGAAACACAGGGAAGAGATGAGTAGGGAGGAATGCCCCCTCACTGGAATCTGTTACGAGGGCCGAGAGCGTGCCCATCCAGCTCCTGGACTCTGGGGGTCTTGGGTGAGATGGGGGCTGGAATGGGTTGGGGCAGAGGGGGGCTGGGCGCTCAGCCTAGAAAGCCATCGGGGTCGTCATCCTCAAAGTGGCCTTGCTGCAGCACCTTGATGTGGTGCTCGTAGATTTTCAGGGCCGGGCCCAGGCGGATGGACAGGCCAGTCAGCACGTCTGTGCGCTGCATGAGCAGCAAAGACTTGCCATCGATTTCCTGGGTGGGACGGAGAGAGCAAGCGAGCAAGGTCAGAGCAGACCCCCACTGAGGCCCTGGCATAGAGGGGTACACCGAGGGCTGAGAACTCGCCTGCTCTTGGAAAGCTGTTGCCTGCTCCGGGAAGCCGGCCTCCGTGAAGTACTCAACCACATCCATCACCGTCCACTCCACAGGGTCAGCCGGCTTCTCTTTGCGCCCAGAACTGTGTCACAACAGAGGGAACCAGTGAGCAGAGATACTCCTCTGACTCTTACACACACACAGGCGACACTCCCATGTCTCAAATACCCCACTTACGGACAGCCAAAGGGGGTTCCATCAGCCCCTGGTAGGGCTGGTTTTCCTGGGGGCAAAGGCACAGGGGATGGGGAGTCTGGCCCAGTGGCAGCAGAGGCTGGGAAAGAAAACACATATGCCTGTGGCTTTGTCTTGGGGCTCAGTTCCTCCCCACCAGGCAATACCCCCCCCCAACTCAGAGAGATCCTTACCTGATCCCCCTTCCTTATTCATGGCTGCCATGGAGAACACTTGGCGGGTACCACTGCCTGGTGCCGGCCCCCGGCTTTCATCCTGGCCCTGGTGGGGTCCACAGGGTGTCCACTCCTTGACCCTCTCCTTGGCACTCTGAGGCCCTCGCTCGCCATTAAGCTGGTGGTGCTGGGCACCTGCTGGGCGGTCACCCTCAGGCACCTCCGAGCCCTCAGACACATCGTCTTCATCATCTTCCTCTTCATCATCTTCTTCCTCCTCTTCCTTCTCAAGCACTCGCTCGTCTCCACCTCTCTGGTGCCGGGGAGAGAGCCGGGAAAGGTTAGTAGCTGTTCTGGCCCTGGGCCCAGTCCCTGGGATCCAGGACCGAGTGGTGTGCTTAACACCCACCTTTAATACCAACACGGACTAACTTTTACGCATTCAGTCCGTGCCAGGCTCTGTGTTAATAAAGCCCTCGGTAGCCAAATCTCACTAAACTCGCTCAACAACCTCAAGGGGTCGCTACTGCTATTAAGTCCCGTTTTACAAGCGAAGGAAACTGAGGCTCGGCAAGATTAAGTCACTTGCCAAGGTCACCATGCGCCGAACCCGCAGGAAAGACGCGAAAAGCCAGGGCCGCCCGCCACCCGGTTCCTCCCGGGACTCGCGCCCCGCCACCAACTTCGCCCGCACCTGCCTACCGCGCGGCACCCCCCCGCCCTTCCCCGGCGCGCTCACCTTGCTCCGCGACGCGCGGGCGCTGGCGGCCGGCGGCGCCCGTCCGGGCCTGTCCCCGCGGGGCAGCGCGAGCGCTCCGAGGCGGGTGCGCTCCAGGCGGCCCCGCGCTGCCGCCTCTTCCTCCAGCAACCCCTGCACGCGGCCGCGGGTCAGGCGGCCGCCGGCGCCGCCGCTGCCCCCGAGGTAGCGCACGACTTCCCGCAGGCTCACGGGCCGCGCCGGGCCGCCGGCCCGCGCCGCGCCCCCCTCCGGCGGCTGCTGTGGCTGCGGCGGCGGCGGCTGCTGCTGCTGTGGCGGCGCCGGCGGCTGTGGCGGCGGCGGCAGCGGCGGCTCCCGGGCGGCGACGGCGGGCGGGGGGGCGCGGCGCGGGCCGGCCGGGGGCGCCACTGCCGGAGGAGCGGCGGGCGCGGGCGGCGGCGCGGCCAGGGGCGCGGCCCGCTGCGCGCGGGGGCCCGGCTGCGCGGGGCCGGGCGAGGGGGGCGCTGTGGCGGCGGCAGCGGCGGCCGCGCGGGGCGCCCGGGCCGGGGCGGTGGCGGCGACGGGCGCGGGCGGTGGCGGCGGGGCGGGCGTGGGCGGCGGCGCGGCGGCGGCGGCGGGGCCCCCGCGGGGGGCGCGCGGCGGGGCCGGCGGGGTGGCTCCGCGCCGGGGCGGCTGGACGCGCGCCGCGTTGCGGTACGAGATGCTCCCCTTGTAGCTGACCCGGAGCACGGCGCGCTGCTGGATCAGTTTCTCGAGCTCGGCGCGCGTGCGCTCCGGCTCCGGGCCGTGCCGCCGCCGCACCATCCGGCAGATGCGCTCCAGGTCCGGCCGCGCCTTGCGCGAGCGCAGCGAGTCGATGGTGTCCAGGATCCACTCTTGGTAGTGCGGGGAAGCGGCGGACGACGAGCCAGCGGCCGCCGTGGTGGCGGCCGCCGCCGTCTCCGGCGGGGGTAGGGCCGGGGGCCCCGCCATGCCTCCCGCCCGGCCCGGCTGCACCGTGCGCGCTGCCTCCCTCCCAGCGCGGCGCCCCCCTCCCCGGCTCCCCTCCCTCCGCCGCTGCCCGCCTCCTCCGCCTCCCCCCCCCGGGGGGCGCAGCGCCTCGGCGGAGCGGCGGCGGCGCTGCTGTTTCTTTGCAAAAAAAAAAAAAAAAAAAGCGAGAGAGAGGGAGCGCGAGAGAGAAAAAACAGTGAGAGAGAAAGAAAAGAGAGAAAAAAATATGCACACACTCACTCACTCGCACGCACGCACACACAGACCCGCTTCTGCTGGGCGCGCGCGGGGCCGGGGATGCGAGGAGGGAGGAGGGGAGCGCGGCGCGGCCGGCCCCTCCCCGCCGCCGCCGCCGCCGCACGCGCGCCCTGCGCCCGGGACACTCCGGCCCCCCTTCCTTCCCTCCCTCCCTCCTCCCCGCCGCCCGCCTTCCTCCCTCCCACCCCCACGCGCCCGCTTTTAAGGTGGAGCCCGGGCCCCCCGCCCGCCCCCTTTACCCTGCGCTCTCGCTCACTCTGGCTCGCTCCGGCCCCCCCTTACAACTCCCGCGCGCTTTTTAAGGAGGCGCCGTGGAGTTGGCGCCGGGGCGGGGGCGGGGGAAAGCGGCGGGCGGGGGAGGGGGAGGGGAGCGCCGGGGGGAGGGGAGAGGGGGCGGGCGGGGCGGGCGGGGCGGGCAGGCGGCGCTCGGCCGCCCTCCAGCCATTGGGCGCGGGACCCAGACGTCCCCGGCGCCCAGCCCCCCCTCTCCACGCCTCCCCGGCGCGCTCCGCTCTCGGGACCGCACTTACCGGGAACTCGCCGCCCGCGGGCCGGGCCGCTGCGCTTGCCGGGCGCCGCGGGGACCCTCGGACTGTCGCCGCCCCCGCGCCCCAACGGCGCGCTTGGCCCCGCGCTCCGCGCCGAGGATGCGGGGAGGGGGGCGCGCACGGTTTCCCCCACCCTTTCCCCCCCCTGCCACGGCCGCCCCCGCCGCCTCTCGGCCTCCCGGCGCGCCGGCCCCAGCGTCTCCCTAGAGCGCCCTCTCGGCAGAGGGCTGGACGCCGAGGGGGCGCGCCGCAGATTCGGGGACCCCGAATCCAGGGTCAAAGGGCAGTTTGGCGCCCCCTTCTCCTGCGGGGCGGGGTAGTGGCGGAATTCCGGCCAAGCCCGGTTTTACAAGGACTCCAGGCCAGATCCTGATCAGCCTGGACGTTGGGGTCCGAAATTCTCTTTCCAAACCCCTGGGGGTATGTGGGCGGGTGACCGAAGTCGGGAACACCAGCGACACTTTTTTTTAAACAAAACTTTATTGGTAATAGTTTTCAAATATGTTTACAACAGCACACTGTTCAAGAGGAAGTCGCGTCCTTCGCAGCACACAGGTTGAATCGCCCCCGTGCCCACCCGGGGCCCCACCCCAGGCCTGAGAGCTCCTCCTGGATGGGGAGAAGTTATGAGAGGGACAAATACGGGGATGAATGGGATTGCTCCCCACTTTTGTGTTGAGAGAAAAAAGCACAAATGGGGGGGAGAAAGGGTGATGGACAGCTGACAGCTAAGCAGAGGAGGAGCGCCCAGGATGGGGGGAGGGGGGCGGAGGCTGCTGGGTGAATAAAACAGGCAGCCGCTCCCCAGCAACCCTGGCCTTGAACCCCGGGCCAAGAGGCGGGAGGAGGGCTTTGCCTTCTTTTGCGGGGGTTGCCTTCCCAATGAGCAGAGAGGAGGCTGGGCATTAAAATCTAGCTGAGAATAAAATTAGAGTTTGGGGGGGAGTGCTGGTGGGAGGAAAGACCCTGGGCTTGGGGCTCCCCTTCTATCTTTTCGGGGGACAACTCCTTTTTGGCTGGGAGAGGGGCAGCTGCTTTCTTTGTCTTGGCGGAAGCCCAAGGGTGAAGAAAGGTCTGCTGGGGCAGAGGGGGACAGGGGCTTCCTAAAGGGGCTGAGACCCTTCCAGGCTTGCCAAGGGACCCCCCAGGGTTGGGGGGGGTGGGCAGAGGAGCAGAGGAGATTAGCAGCTTGGGGCGGAGGTTTGAACCCCAGCTCCTTCCTTTACAAATTCAGTCTGCTTCCCAGCCTTGTTAAAATGGATTTGGGAAGGGGGCAGCTTGGGAGGGGTAGGGGGAGGAGGAGGGGGAGGCACTGGTGGAACTTAAATAAGATTATACCTTTTTTTTTTTTTTTTTTAATTCTAGCAAGCAGCCCACTGAACAGGTCACTAAAATCTCTCCTTTCCAGGCACCATTGCTCTGAAGAGAAGGCTGGCCTTTCCTTCATTTGCCCTTAGTGGGTGATGCCTGTGGTTTAGGGGGGGTGGGGAGGGAGTTAAGTTTGGGCCCCTCTTTCCACACCCTGTCCCTGAATACACCAGTAAGACATGGTCTGACTGGAACATAGAAACTCGTTTAAAACAGGCAGAAGTGGGCTGGGTGGGGGTCTTCTGGGGAGGAGGAAGGCAAAAGTGGTAGGGGGAGGCAGGAGGGGGAGGGGTTGAGGGGGAGCAGCTGGTGTTTCCATTCCTCTGAATATCTGGCTTCCTGCTCCCCCTACCATGGAGGGTGGGGTGGGGGTGAAATTAGATGCAAGGAACTCTGGGGCCCTCTGGCTGTTCAATCCAACCCTCCCACCCCCCCACCAAAAAAAAAAAAAAAAAAAAAAAAAGAAAGAAAGAAAGAAAGAAAACCCGTGGCGGCACAGGCACACCCCTAAAACTCAGTAAACTCCTTGCCACACTTCTCATTGATGGAGACTCGGATCTCTTCCTCCTCATAGTCGTCAAAATTACTCGTGTCCCCAGGGCCTTTAAACTTTGGTATGAAGGGAGCTTCCACCTGGAGAGGGGTCAAGAACCACTCAGACCTCCATAGTCAACATAATCATCCTTACAACAATAAATGTGAATGGCCTAACATTCATGAGATAACTTCCTCTGACCCAGGCCTGAATTTAACATAAGGGTGTGGACTCACCTTAATAACCTTAAGAATCTCATTATAGCCAGCTCACCAGAGGGGTGTCTCGTGCCCAAGGTCACAGAGTGGCCAAATGACCCCGCCAACCCCCATCTAGACCCCACTGCTCTAAGGCCCCTCAGCTAGACTGACTCAGAGCCTGTGGCCTATTTTCAGATGCCACTGCCCTTTCCATCTCTCCACTGGTAACCCTCCCTGGCTCGTGGCCTCTGCTCAAAACCCTCAGTGCACCTGCTTGCGGAGGGGGGGGGGTGGCATGGGGAAGGAGGTGGCCCACCTTCCTCTGGTAGATGGCGATCCAGTCAGTTGTGGCAAACCACTTGTGGTTCTTGATATCGTTGACCCCATTCTTGAGGTTCCCGAAGCGTTTGGTGAGGTCCACCTGCAGCAGGTTCCGCAGCAGATCCTTCAGGTCAGAGCTGAAGTGGGATGGGAACCGCACCTGAAGAGGGGGTTAACACAGTCAGGGTGGGGGACTTGTCTGGAGTCTGGGGAATCCCAGAATGCTGCCTTTGCTACCTAAGAGTCCTCCCAGGTAGAGAATCCCCAACTTAAGTGTGCTTTAGGATCCCATTAAAAAAGCTTGTTGAGGGGTGCCTGGGTGGCTCAGCCGGCTAAAGCATCTGCCTTCAGCTCAGGTCATGATCCCGGGGTCCTGGGATCAAGCCCCACATCAGGCTCCCTGCTCACAGTGGGGAGCCTGCTTCTCCCTCTCCCTCTGCCTGCCACTCCCCCTGCACGTGCTCTCTGTGTCAAATAAAAAAAAAAAAAAGCTTGTTGGGCCCACTGGAGTTTCTGATTCAGGAGGTCTGAGAACCTGTATGTCTAGCCTGTTCCTCGGCCGTGCTGATGCTGCTGGACATGGGGCCACCCTAGGAACTGCTGTTCTAAGGTAAACCCTTCGATGGTTCCCGTTTTAGAGACGAGGGAACAGGCTCAGAAGGGTTAACAGCCTGCCTAAAGTCACACAGAGGAGTGGGACTGGGGGCTTTCAACTTGGGTCTGTTGGACTCCAGAACTTGCATTCTTAGCTACTGCTTCCTAAGGCAGCTCTGTCTCTGGGTCTGGGGACTTCTGAAACATCCACGGTTAGGAGAGAAATGACTGTTTTTGTTTCCCCCTCTCTCTCCATAGCTAAGACTCTTCCACTCTTTAAGGTTCACTTCAACTCTTCCAGAAACTTCCCCAAAGCCTTGTTTGCAAGTACTCACTGGATGTATAGCCGCCAAGAACTAAGTTCCAGCACTGCTCTACATTTTACACGCTGTTATGACCTTGGCCATGGCCCTTACCCTCTCTGGGCCTGTGCCTGCCTCTCAGGCAGGGGGCAGATATCCCAGTGTTGCATGAGGGAAGAGAATACCGCTGAGGGCGCGTGGGAACTGTAAAATGCTACAAAGAAGGGAGTTATGCTCATCTTCTCCTCTCCTCCTCAGAACTGTCTATGGTTTTTTCCTTTTCTCCCCGCCCCCCACCCCCTCCACTTTGGGCCATTTTCCCTGCAATTTCTTTTCAGCCTAGTGGCAGACACCTCGTCTTTCTCTTTTTAGTAACCCGTTGCAGCAGATTTCTTTCTCAGAGGAGCAAGTGTCTGGTACCCCAGTTTTCATATGGGTAAGGTGAGGCTCAGAAGGGCAAAGGCACCTGCCCGAGGTTTCAAAGTCAATGGGTGGCTGAGCTGGGACGTAGAGCCAGGTCGGCACCCCCAGGCTGAACTGGGAGCTGCTTCCACTAATTCCCAGGCCAGGTGGAAGGATGGCTGGGTCCTCCCAGCCAGGTAGTGAGCTGAGGGCAGAGGCGGGGTTCCCAGTCTGTCCTGAGCCCTTGGGGCCTGTGATGATGCTCTGCAAGCCTGAGCTTCATCACTCCTTCCAAGTGCTGGGGTACAGCTGAGCAGGGTGCATCGTGTGGCAGTGAGCACGTCTGCACTCTGTGACAGCTCTGCCACCCCACCCTGTACCCCAAGAGTTAGCAAGTCTGCATTTGGGAGAGGAGACATGGGCTGCATCCCCTAAGTGACCCTGCAGGGTCTGGAGTGGCACCCGGGAACTGCACACGGTTGCTTCCTGCTGTGAAACTTGTGGAAACTCATGCTCAGTGGGATGACCGGAGGCAAGCAGAGTCTCCTGTTGGGCAGGGAAGGTGTTCGGGTGAGGCCTGGGGTTCTGGAAGCCCTGGAAATATCAGCAGTGTGGGTCCAGGATTAGACGGGGAGGTTGTGTGAGGTGCTGGCCTGTTCATGTGGCTGGTGCGCCCAGCTTCACTGCTTGGCCTAATTTAATGAACTTCTAGATTGTTCTGACACCATATGCAGGGCTCCATGGTGAGCAGAACTGGTGGGGAAGGGTCTGTGTAGGGGCTTAGTCCCTGTATCCAGGCCTCACCTTCCCAGAGACAATCTTCTCATAGATCTGGATGGGCTGGTCAGCGAAGAAGGGCGGGTAGCCAGCGGCCATCTCGTAGATGAGAACCCCCAGGGCCCACCAGTCCACAGCCTTGTTGTAGCCCTAGAGTGAGAAGTGGGGGGTATGGTGTGAAGAGAGGAGGGCGAGGAGGGGTGCAGGTGGAGTAGGCCTCAGGGCAGTGGGATGGGCGGGGAGGTGCCTACTTTGCTCAGGATGATCTCCGGGGCCAGGTACTCAGGGGTCCCGCATAAGGTCCAGGTGCGGCCTTTTACACGCTTGGCAAAACCGAAGTCTGTCACCTGCAGGCACAAGAATGGGCTGTTGGCCAGGAAGGAGACAGGGAGGGGGAGGATCCAGCCCATGGCCGCCTGGGCCTGACCCATGCCCGTCCTGGTGGGCACCTGAATGTAGCCCTGCTGGTCAATGAGGAGGTTCTCTGGCTTCAGGTCCCGGTAGATGAGGTCAAGTGAGTGCAGGTACTCGAAGGTCAGGACGATCTGGGCCGCGTAGAAGCGGGCATGCGGTTCACTAGTGGGGACAATTGGGGAGGGGACAGGTGAGTGTGGGTGGTTATGCCCAGCATGACCTGCCCACCCCCAAATGCTCTAGCAGCTGGGCCTTCAGAGCCGCCCCAAACACATAAGCAGAGCAGACTTCTTCGTATATGGTCCCACGCGGGAAGGAGCCCGCATGTCCATCAACAGAGGAACACAATCAGACTGTGGTAGCTTCATACAGTGGAATCGTACCCAACACCACTGCCAGGAAAAACGATGAATACACTCAACAACGTGGCTAGATGTCAAGACGATTATGTGAAGCAAGAGAAGAAAGGAACAGAAGAATATAAACGGTGTGATTCCATTTATATCCAGCCCAAACCCAGACCAAACACATTTATGGTGTTTGAAACCAGAAAGGACAACTGCTTTCTTCAGGGCGGCAATTTGCCAAGAACGGGGTTCGAGGGATTTTCTGGGGTGATGGAAATGTTCTCTATGGTATTTTGGGTGGTGGTTTCCCAAGTGTATGCAAATGTCAAAACATTAAGCTCCTGTGCGTTCTGTCGTATATAAAGCACATATCTACATAACTAAGGTAAATGATAGCATGAATTTTAAAACTGCCAACTTAAACAGTGAGACCAAAGTCACCGTGCTTCTTCTGTTTTGTGGGGGCTGAGAAATCACAGATTCCTCGGCTCAGGGGCAACAAGAATCCAGACAGACTTGGAGAGCCCACGTCACCTCCCAGATGGCTTGGTCATGCGACGACACCTGTGGGCACACCCGGGCCCACTGTGGCAGGGGCTGGCCAGCTCACCTGAACCTTCCGATCCGCCGCAGGTGGGAGAACATCTCCCCGCCAGGCACATACTCCATGACCATGTATAAATTCGAGTTGTCCTATGGGAAACAGTGGCTGATCAGGGGCCCATCTGAAGGCCTGGTGCCTTTACATGGCGGGTGTTCCAGAATAAAGCGACAACGACAATCTTGGCTCCCATACGAAGCCTGTTCGCAGCGCCAGGCACTATACTCCCTGAGCCTCCTGGCTCATTTCCTTCCGCCCATGAAGAAGAAGGGGCAGCTGGGATCCTGCTCACAGGGGGTGAAAGTGAGGGCCGGCAGGTGGGGTGGGAGGGGCCCAGCCAGTGGGGAGAGGACTCTGGGGCATCTCACGTCTGCAACTGTCTTCACTGAAGCTTGAGGTCACAGTTTTGTCACCTGCAAAACGGGCCCAGGATGGGCTACAGAATTTGTGGGGCCCCAGAATAAAACTGTGAAGCCCCTTGTTAAAAAAAATTATTACAACTTTTAGGATGACAGCAGCTGAGCTTTAAACCAGGCATGGGGCCCTTGTGACTGTCTGGGTCTCAGGCCTCGAATGGCTTTCCCCAGATCTTGCAGTCACAGCTTAGGATAACACCCAAAATAGCTCACGGAGGGTGCTCACATTGTGCTTGGAATGGTCATGGCCACCCCATTAGGTGGGGAGTGTTGGGATCCCCACTTTATAGACAAGGAAACTGAGACTCACGGCAGTCAAGTCCCGCACCAGCATCACACAGCCTGGAGGAGCACAGAGCTGCGCTTCGAATCCAGGCTGTGTGGCGCAGTTTGGGCCTAGAGTCGTGCGTGCGTCAGGTGCTTTGCTGTAAAATAGAGAGGTGGTTTGGAGGGATGTCAGCCAGGTTGGGTGATCTGCCCCAAGTTCTCAAGCTAGAAACTGGTGGGCCCAGGAGTTGAACATGGGTCTACCACAGTCTCAGGCTGACTCCTGCCCCCAGCATCCCTCCTCTGGGACTCTCCTCCTTTCCCGTTAGTGGGCCTGCCTCCTCGGGCAGCCACGGCTCGTCCTCGGCCCCCACCCTAGCTCTGGGAGCCCCGAGGCTGTACCACCTAGCAGTGGCCCCGGCCCCCGGGCGCTGGGACCCCACCTTGAAGGAGAACTCGAGTTTGACGAGGAACGGAAAGTTGACCGCTTGCAGGATGCGCTTTTCGTTCAGGGTATGCTCGATCTGTTTCAGCTTCACCACCTGTGGGGGTGGGAAGGGAGGTAAGAGTGGGTCTGAGAGGGTCCTCCTCTTCCCCGATGCCCAGAAGTAACCCCCTGGGCTGGGCTGGTCCCTTTGAGTGACCACAGCCTGTAGAACCTCAGGCTGGATGCTGAGGACATACTGAGAAGGCAGAAGCTGCCTGTCCCCGCATGGCATGCAGTTCAGGGCAAGAACACGAGTCACCAAGCCTCATGGCCCAGAAGGGTCAGAGCCATGGTGGGGGGAAGCTCGGGGCCTGCGGATGCCCAGGTAAGGGGCCTGGTAAAGTCAGGGGGACGGGGGAGTCAGAGAAGGCTTCCTGGAGGAAGGGGCAGCTAAGCTGAAACCGAAAAGACAAGCAAGAGTGGTGCCTAAGAGATATTTAGAAATACTTTCCCTGCATCCAGAGCACCTTCCCCACAGCCACTCAAACCCCACACTGATTCTTCCTCAGCTGTCCCCAGCAGGTGCCTCACACATAGTGACAAGAGCCCTGAGGGGTATGTGCTGTGAGCATGGCATTTTGGAAGACCCAGATGCAGAGAAGGGAAGTGACTTGCCCAAGGTCACCCACAGCTAGTCAGTGTCAGGACCGCATGTCACACGCAGGCAGGCTGGCCCCTTGGTCAGCTCTGATCTGCTGTGCTAGGGCTTTTCCCACTTTGCTCACAGCTGTATGCTCCAGGTCTACACCTGCACTGTCCAGTAAGTCCACACTAGCCATGTACAGCTGCTGAGCACTCGAGATGTGGCTAGTTGCCTGGGGAACCAAGTTTAAAATTTTAAGTTTCTAAAATGAAAATTTAAAAACGAACACCTGAGGCAGTTACTGGGTGACTTTTAAGCCTGAATGGAACAACGCGGGATATGTGAATCTGCTTTTCCAACCTCTCTGCTTTTTCTTGTTTTTCTAGTGAAAACTGAACATCTGAACAGAGATGTAAGTATAAAATACACACTGGATTCTGAAGACTTCATACAGAAAAAAAAAATGAGAGGTCTCATTAATGGTATTTTTACACTGGTTACGTATGTTGAAATTATAATATTGTAGATATACTGGCTTAATTAGAGCACATTGCTGAAATTAATTCTACCTGTTTCTTCTTACTTATTTTTAATTTTAATTTTTTTTAAAAGATTTTATTTATTTACTTGACAGAGAGAGTAGCAGAGGGAGAGGGGGTGGCAGACTCCCTGCCGAGCAGGGAGCCCAATGTGGGGCTTGATCCCAGGACCCTGAGATCATGACCTGAGCCGAAGGCAGACGTCTAACCGACTGAGCCACCCAGGTGCCCCTCTTTTTACTTTTTAAAGGGGGGAGGGGTTCTACAAAATTTAAAACCATATATGGCTTGTATTACCTTTCTGTTGAACATGCTACCCTACAGCAGTGCCTGGCATAAAGTAGGGTCTCAAAAATATTTACAGAAATAAGGTCTGTGGGGCGCCCGGGTGGCTCAGTCGGTTGAGTGTCTGCCTTTGGCTCGGGTCATGATGCCAGGGTCCTGGGATCGAGCCCTGTGTTGGGCTCCCTGCTCAGTGGGGAGTCTGTTTCTCCCTCTCCCTCTCCCTCTAACCCTCCTCCCCACTTGTGGCCCCCTCTGTCTCAAATAAATAAAATAGAAAGAAAGAACGAAAGAAAGAGAAAGAAAGGAAGAAAAGAAAAAAAAGAAAAAAAAGGAAAGAAAGAAAGAAAGAAAGAAAAAGAAAGAAAAAGAAAAAAAGAAAGGTAGGTTGGTTGGTCTGTGAGGGGCGCCTGGATGGCTCAGTTGGTTAAGCATCTGCCTTTGGCTCCGGTCATGACTCCAGGGTCCTGGGATCGAGCCCTGCATTGAGCCCCGCATCAGGCTCCCTGCTCACGGGGAGTCTGCTTCTCCCTCTCCCTCTCCCACCCCCCTACCCCGACTTGTGCTCTCTTGCTCTCTCTCTAATAAATAAATAAAAAAAAATTAAAAAAAAAAAAAAGAAAGAAGGTCTGTATAAATACAATACTTTCCCCAGGAAGACTTCTGGCTTCCTTGATACAGGCTAGGTGTCTGAACCCATGTCCTCTGCCTGGACCCCCATCAGTGGCTGGTCTGGAGGGGAAGCTTCATGAAGGCAGCATGGGTGCTTCTGAACCTCGGGTCTGGCACATTATGAAGGCTCAGGAAACAGTTGGTGAATGACAGACGGGAAGACCAGTCAGGCTGTGGGAACAGTCTGAACCAAGGCCTGGTGCGGGGGGGGACGGTGACCTCCTGGCCGGGCTGTGCTTACCTTCTGTTTGTCGAGGATCTTCATGGCAAAGTGGTTCCCGGTCTCCTTGTGCTTCACCAGCATCACTCGCCCAAAGGAGCCCGTGCCGAGGGTCTTGATCCGTTCAAACTGATCCAAATGGGCTGTATTCTGTGGGCAGAGGGGTTGGGAGGGTCAGGGACCCCCTCCAAGTGGGGGCAAGGCCAAGGTCCAGGGCATGCCCTCTGCCACCAGCAGAGGGGGCCCTGGGGAGGGGGTGGAATGATGGGGGTAAGGACAGGGGGTGGAAAAACAAGATGGCGAAGGACACATTCCTTAAGGCGGGTGGCAGGGGCCAGATCCGGTCCTGGCCCGGGGCCCAGGGACTACTGGCAGCTGCGTGGGGGGCAGGGGCCACCAGGTGGAAGGGGGTGGTGGGGTGGGGGTGCGTGCCAGTGGGGGATTGTATGCCTCTGCCCAGGAGCCCCCGCTGGCATCTAGGGAGCAAATGGGGTCAGGTCTGGAGCCCTCCACAGGGCCCTAAAAATCCTCACCATGTTACAGGGACATGGCTGGAGGTTGGGGGACCATCAGCTCACCCCTCTCAGGGCTCTGCATCCAGGGGGCTTACCTGAGCAGGATTTTCCCATTTTTTAAGAAAATCTTCTTTGGCTTTGGCTAAGAACTCTTTCACTGAAAGGAAAAGAGAGAGAGCATTAGTTAGAGACCCCATCTTATCGGGGTGGGCCTCGGCTATTCCTGGGGAGATGCCCATTTGTGCAAAGTGGGGTGCAGCTGTCTCAACCTAGAGACTGACCTTTTCCTAGTAGCTTCAGGTGCCCTGGCTGAGCTGGAGGGCAGCTTTGGGGGGCCCTGATCTGGGCTGGGGGCCTGGGCCCCCTTTACTCAGAGAAGTGGGATATAGCCTCAACTCTGTCCCAAATGGGGTGCAAGGTGACTCGGGGGTTACTCTTAGGGGTATAGAGAGTGACGCCCAGGCCAGCCCACCCCCACTCGCCCCAGTTCTGACCGACATTCCATGGCCAGGGCCGACGCCAGCCAAGATATTTATAGCCTGGGGATTTGGCTGCTCCTCCAACCCCTTCTCTGGGGAGGCCGGGCCCTGGGTGGAGGCCTCTGGGGCTCGGGTAGCAGGCGCCCTTGGGGGGCTCAGCTGTTGCCTTGGCCCCCAGCTGGCCCCATTCCCGCCTTTGCCAGTCCAGGGGTCCTTCCTCCAGAGGTGGTTCGAGGGGAGCCTTACCCTATGCCCACACCCCACGGGCCCTTCAGCACCCCAAGGCAAACATCACCATCCGGCTAATGGTGAAGACTTCCTGGTGGACACTGGGCCTGCTCACTTGGTTTGCCTACTAACTTTCCTTTTATCCATTCTTCCCATTTAACGCCCTAGGAAACTGAGGCTTGAAAACAGGCATTCTTGCCAAGGCCAAGAAGGAGCCCAGCAAAGCAGTTAAGGGCCAAAACTCTGGGACAAGATCAAGTTCAAATCCCAGCCTGGTCTCTGATGAGCTGTGCAACCTTAGGCAACTGACCTGACCTCAGTTTTCCTCATCTGTAAAATGGGGATAATACTAGTAACGACCTGGTAGGATGGTTGTGAGGACTGAATGAATTAATCTTGGCAAAAGGGGTTGGACAGTGGCTGGTATGGGGTTAATGCGATATAAATGGCAATTACTGATTTTGTTTTTAGGTATTTCTAAAAACTGAGGTATGAAATATAGGGCGTGGGGGGTACATTGACCTTTCAAGCTCTAAATGTACAGCTTGGTGCATTCTTGCATTACAGACCAGCCCTTGTAACCACCCCCCGGGGCCAGGCACGCTGTTCAGGGACCCTTCCTGTGTGCCAGTCCCATGCCAAATGCTTTCTGTGCTTAATTCCTACCCTAATGGGTCAGACCTGCTGTTCCTCTCCTTGTACAGATGGGAAGACTGACCAGGCCTGAGGTGGCCTGCCGGACCTCAGTGCCCACAAGATTAACTGCTTCGCTCCCGCCTGGTGGCAGTGCACAGGGTGGCCCACAGACGGAGCTGTCTTCTACCCCCTGACACCTGCCACCCTGAGGGGTCCTACGCGCTTGTACTTTGGCATCGTCTGTCATCTGCCTGGACTACCCAGACACAGCGCCAGGAATCCCACACAGCCTCATGAGTGGCCACCACTCCCACCGTTCCCAAGACTCCCCTGAGCGTTTGGAGGGAAGAACCTTCCATGGGGTTGCAGGAACGGCAGACAGAGGAGAGACTGTTGGCCAGGAAAGCCTAAAAATGAGTGGCTGGGCAGAGAACGGGCAGTCAAGGAATGGCCACGAGTCCTAGGCTGGTACCTGGCTGGGCCATCAACTGCTTGAGACCTCTCTGAGCCTGAAATCCAGTGCTTTCCCTAGCAGAATCTATTTTGATGCACAACACCTTCCTTGGAAACCTCCAAACATACACACTGAATTCTGGATGAAGGTGGCGGGGGAGAGGGTACCCTCTTGGGACTTCACCTTTGCCCACCTAACAAGGCAACGGAAGGGGTGTGGGAAGAATCCAGGAGAATGCCTGGTCCTGCTTCCCTGTTTGCTCTCAGCCCTCCCTGAGAACTACCATATTCTGCTTTTTCCTGACTTAGTGGGCCTGCCTTTGGCTGTCTGCTGGTACCCCACTGAGAGGCTCCATGGGTGCCTTGGTTCTAGTACAGCTCTTCTCTAGACTCTCAACGTACTAAAGGGCCCAAACTGTGTCCCCTCTAGTTCCATCGGCTTGCCAGATTTTGGGCACAGTGTGTGTGGGGGGGACAGTCAGAAGGAGTGGGCAGATAGAGGGATAATGATGGGGGAAGCCCCAGCCAGAGCCCCCATACTCACCTCTGCTTCCTATGTCTTCCAGCAGAGGGTGCAATGAGGGGTGGAGAGGGATAGGGTGATGTGGGACCCATCTACCCCGGCCAGGGAGGCTCAGGGTGCTGGCTGTGGCTTACGCGCCCAGAAGGTGTGGTGCAGGTAGCCCAGGAAACGGAGAGTCAGGTGGGCCCAGAGAAGCAGCTGCAGCCACAGCTGGAAGGTGGTCTCTGAGTCACTGCCCTGGCCACTGCCTGACCCCACATCCATCCCAGGCTGCCCTGAGCCCTCCCTGGAATCCTCCCTTTGCAGGGAAACCAGGAACACGCAAGGCCTCTGAGCTGGCTTCCTCTGAAGGGCCTCAGGGGACCAGGGAGGAGGAGCCGGTTGCCAGGGAAGCATTTAAAGGTACCTGCTCCCGGCTGGCCAAGGTTTGTGAAGGCCCTCCTTAGCAGAAGGCAGTGGGAAGATTCTCCTGAGGGTGTCCCTTCTGGCTGGCCTGGCTGCCCCAGGGGTGGAGTGCTAAAGCTAACTTCCTGTTCCAGGGACTTCACTGCTCCCAAGATGCCAGGTCCTGCCGTCCTCAGTGGGTGCTGAACTACTCAGAGGATGGCACCGAATGTGCCCAGGGCAGTGCCCACTGGGCAGAGGGGAAGGAGTTAAGGTTCAGACCCAGGCAGCAGCTAGGGGCTCCCTGGGGCCAAAGAGGCCCCAGAGCCCCGTTAATTAACTGAAAGAGCAGATGGAGAGAAAGAAGTGGTGGGGACGGGCGCAAGAGCCACCCTATCTCCTCCCCTAAGTCCTCTTTGAACCTGGAGGCCCCAAATCCTGTTACCCCAAGAGAAAAATGGGTATATCTGGATTTGTCTTGCTCCTATGTGGGGGCAGAGAGGGGACTAACATCGCAGGATGTCCTTGGCCTCTGTCAAACCTTGCCCTGTGCTTGGCTCTGCTTTCAGCCATGAAAGTCCAACCGGAAACGAAAGGCTAAACCTAGGGGTGGGGGAGGGGAAGGCAGCCTCGACCATCTTCCTCCTTCTTTCCACATCCCAAATAAAGTGGAGGGTCAGTGGCAGCTTCTCTGAAAGTGCCCAGCACCCGTGGCCCCTGCTGACAACAGGAAGTGGCATAGAAGGGAAACCCAGCCAGCTGCTGGCTTATGAAACCCGCCCCCCTGCCATGTCTCCCCCGAGGGATGGAGGGGTGGTTGCCAGCCTCCACTCTGGTCTGGATTCGATTTGGGCTAACAGAGAGAACCCCAGACACCCCTCAAAAAGCCAGGGCCACAGCAGGAGGCAGGAGCCCAGCCTTGGACACCCCAGACAACAATCTCAGCACACTCAGCCCTCTGAAACCTGTTTGTCTGGGACACGGATGGATGGGACCCCTATTGTGGACTGGATCGCTCCCCAGCCGGATGGACACCCATTCTGTACTGAACCATCATCCATTATGATCTGGACTCCACCACTGAGCTGAACCAACCCCCATTCTGAGCTTAACACAACACTGGGCTGGACCACCCCACCGCCTTGGTCTGAGCTGGACCCCCTGTGCTCGCTTTGGCGGCACATATACTAAAACTGGGCTGGACCCCCGCTCTGGGTGGAACGCCCCCCCCTTGTCTGAATGGGGCCACCCATACCTCTGCTTTTCCCCAGGCCCCCGAGCTCAGGGTTGTTAGTCAGGGAGAGGTTTCCAGGGCTAGCCAGGGGTCTACAGACTCTTCCTCTCCACCTGTTCCTGAAACTCCACTGTAGCCCTTCCCTGGCTTGAGGGGCAGAGAGTGCCTGGGAAGTTGCTATAGCAACAGGGCTCATCCTCACCATCGTTGGGGTTGGAAGCCATCACTCAGTCTTCCTCTCAGGGCACCAAGACTACGGTGGCTGGGAAGGTTCATGAGACCTGCTGTACCAGCTTGGCTGCCCATCCCCAAGACTCCATCTATAGGGGGAGGCAGGGAGTTGTGGGGTGGTGGCAGGAAGAGAAGCCAACTTAGGGACCAACGGGTACAGGGAAGGGACAGATAGGACCCTCAAGCTTCTGTAGGCCTGACTGGGCTAAGGGAAAAGCTGCCTTGGCAGGACCCTCTTGGGCACCCATACAACTGCCAATGCACAGAAGGTGCTTGCTGCTCTCAGGCTTCTGTAGGATGTTAGAGGGCCTCCATCCTTCCTATCCAGGGACCTCTTGGGGGCACTTCTCACAGAGCCTGGATCTGCTTGTCCCTGGGACCTGGAGGGGTATCTGGGGGCTCCCTTTCACCAGCCCCGCCCCTTCTGTGGGCCAGCTCCCAGAGGTGCCTTCGGCCAGTGCCAGCCAAGGCCTGAGCTCCACTTGGCCGCCCGTCCCCAGGCCTCTTGGGAGGCCTTCTCTCGGTTCTCCAGCTTGCTCAGAGCCCAGGGCTTGGTCTTTTTTATATGTTCTCTTAGCATCTTCTCCGGGCCCCTGCCAATGGCTTTGGCATCTTTGGGTTAAGATTTCTCCCACCCCACCCCACCAGGGCTTGTTCTCGATCCCTGCCCTCCTGGAGGAAGCTGACACTGTGTCCTGCCATGGAGACAGGGGTACAGGGGGCTGCAGGATGCCTGACTGGTGTCTACTATGGCTTGGGCGTTTTCCTGACCCAGGTCAGGCTGAAAGCTGGCAGATGAAATTCAGGTGCCCCCTGCAGGCTGGCCTGGCTACTGCCCCCGCCCCCACCCCCACTGCACCCTGGTTACAAGACGGCAGATTTTGTCTTATTTCATCCTTTTGGACTCAGAGCTTCAAGGCAAAAAGGGGCTTCCTCTCTCATCCTATTTCCTTTTCTAAGAGCCCCTGTAAGCCTCTGGAAGGATGTACAGCTTGGGGCATCTCCCAAAGTGTGACATAGGTCTCACTGGCAGGGCATAAAATGATTTTAGGGATGTTACACTTTTCCAGTTACATTGTATTTTAATGTGTATCAGAGAGAATATGACTAGCATACCAATCTCCTGATTTCATTTATATTATTGCTCAGGACAGATCAAACTTTACATCTGAACAAAAGTGGGTCACAACTTTATTATTTTAAATTAAGAAAATATAAGTGAATAGAGTAAAAATCCAGGAGGCAGCTTAAGAAAGAATGTCTGGGTCAGGAAATTCTGGGGTCTAGGAAATTGGCTGGTAAGTGGATCTGGATGTGAATCCTGCCTCTTTGACATAGTCCATGTCAAACTCAGACAGCGTGTTTGGAAAATTCGGAGAAAACCCTGTTATGAAAATCACTCCAGCAGATAGATCTATGGAGACCATTTAGCCTGGCACATCCTAGATGCCCAATAAACAGTAGCTCTGTTTCACTGTGGTAGTCCACTTCTGGGTGTCTGGCCTGTGTTCTGGGAGAATTAGCGGTTCCTTCCAGAGCCTCTCTGATCTTTTTCTCGGGGATCCTTTTCCCTGTGCGGCTTTCCGCCCCACTCTGCATGTGTTTGATATGCCTTGAAAGTTTTCCAGGACGATGTCATCTCCCCAACTTTCAGCTGAGCTACTGCAATATATAGCTACTTGCCTCCACCTTCCACCTCCCAGCCGGCCTCACCTGCTGGGGGCCCCAGCCCCTCCCCCTCTGCCTAGTCCCCTCCAAGCTCATGCCCAGACCTTTTTTGGTCACTACCCACCTGCTCCTCTGTCATCAAGTGCTCAGCTACAGGCACTTGCCTCCCTGTCCCCCGCCCATTGGTGACATGTCAGGCCTTCCCATGGCTGCTTGGTGATTCTGAGTTCTGCCATTTGAATCTGTATGGGAATAAAGTTCCCTGGGTTTCATGCCTGTATCTTTCTGGGACAGGGTATTCAAAGGACTCAGATGCTGGGGTCTGAGATCAGAAACTGGAAAGGGCGTATTTGGAGCTCTATTTCTGGGTAACTGGAAGGGGATCCTAGCTAAGCTCCAGCTATAGGTCTGGAGTGATGACAATTTAAGACCCGGGGGAACTGAGGAAGGGGCTTGAGGTCATTTCTGAAGGCATTTCCAGATACAGAATCTCTCTGGCTGGAAAAGGCCAACACCAACATAATTTGGGGGCTGAGGGGGAAACAGGCCTCTCTCTGGCTGAGCCCTGGGAATGATCAGAATCTATTTGTCCCTTGGCAAAGCAAGTCATTAGATGTCAGTCACTACTCTCCCCAACTGTCATGCTTCAAGTCCCCTTTCTCACCATCCCAGCTCAAGCTGAATGAGCCCTGCTAAACCCAGACACTTCATACCCCACTTTTCATCCTGGGCCAGGAGAGGGTGAAGAAGCCCTGGGGACTGGGTGAATGACGGAGCCTCAGTTGTAAAACAACCATTTGTTTAGGGGCACTCCAAGAAGCCTAGAGCTCACTGCATAGCAGGAGATGGGAAGGAGCTCTGCTGCACCCCGCCCCCCCAAACCCAGGAAAGAAGATGCAATGAATCCCAGCAAGACGGGCTCAAACTTGGCTTTGGAAGCACTGAAGCAGTTCTCTAGGTTCATAAACAGTCTGCTACCTCAGCCAGGGACAGACGTTTGCTTGGAGGAGGGAACACAGGCAGAGAGGCAGAGTGACAGAGTGACAGGATGAGAGAGGGGCAGAGGGACCCAGAAAGATCCTGTCCCCCATGCCAAGTGACACAGAAGGGAAAAACAATGCTGGAGGAGGCTCTGGGAAATGCTTAAGGGGGGCAGCGTGGGTTTGGAGGGGGGCTGTGATAAGGTGAAAAGGGGAAGGGCAGGAGAAAGATGGCGGGGGCTGGAGGGGGGAGGGGTGTGGTCACTAAGTGGCCAAGGTCCCTCCGGGGTGGAGGCAGACCCCACAGCACTCCCAAACTGGCAGGAGCCTGGGTCGGGGTCTGGCAGTGGGTTCCATCAGTGGGAGAGGTGAGTGAGGAAGTGGGGGGATTAGAATCTGGGAAGAGGGGCCAGGAAAGGAGGGGGTGGGGTGGTGACAAGGCCCCATGTGGGGCCCCAGCGGTCATACGTGCCTTGGTTGGCAGTGACAGCTGGGTGTGGGGGGGCACAGTCTTTGCAGTGGGGGGTGGCCTTTGGCAAGGGGGCTCCTACAGGGGTCTTCTGCGGGCCCTGGGCCCCAACCTTGGACAGGCAGGAGGAAGGGGCGCTGTGGGGGGGGGGATGAGCAGAGAGAAATGGGGGGGGGACGCGTAGGGGGAGGGGCCAGGCGGTGATGGACAGGGCGGGGGCTGGCAGCGCGGGACCGGGATCGGGGTCATGGCCCGGGCACTCACCGCTCTCCTGCTCGCTGCCCTTCTTGGCGGCTGCGGCGTTGCCCATCGCGGCGACGGCGGCCGGGGCCGGTCCCGGAGCTGCGGCGCGGCGGGTGCTGGCGGCGGCCGGCGGCCCAGGAGCGCGCTGGGCGGCGGCGGCGGCCCCTCGGGTTGGCTGCGCTGGCTGCGGCGCCGCGACCCCCGCCCAGCCCCTGCTTCCCGCGTCTCTCCGCGCCCGCCCGCCCGGGAACCTCAGCCCAAGTCCGCTGCTGCTGTCCGTGACGCCCCCGCAGCCCGCCGCTCATTGGCCTAGGCCGTCCTGAGTGACGGGGCCGCGCCGCCGCCCATTGGTCCTCCGCAACCCTCCCGAGCCGCCATAGGCCCTCGGCTCCGTGACGCGTGCCGCGGACGCCCGGCCACTCGCGAGCTCGCGAGGCCTCAGCTGGGCGGGCCGGCGCACCTGACTGGCCAGGGTTTGCGACAGGGCCCATGGCCCGCCCAGCGAGGCCGCCAATTGGCGGAGGCGCGCTGTCCGGCAAACCCCCCGCAGAACATTCAGTGTCAATCCCGGGGTGAGAGGGCGGGGCGGAGATGCAGCCCCACTGCTCTGGCCGGCCGGGCGGGGCGGCGGAGGCAGACGGATGGCCGCGCCGCGCTCCAAGGCCCAGGAGGCGGTCCAGGCGGCCGCCCGCCTGGCCCCGTACGCGCCGCAGTCCCCCGCCTCCGCTTAGTGCGGCAGCGGCCACCGGCCAGCTAAGGTTGGCGCCAGGGCCTCCCCCCGAACCCTCCTGGCGCAGCCGCCGTCCACCTGCCAGCGGGGGAGGGGCGCGGCGGGCGCCTCGGGTCAGAGGTCGCCGGGCCTCCGGCAGTCGTCATTCATAAGGCCTCGCGCAGGATAGCAGGGTCCCGGCCGAGGAGCCTTTTAGGTCTCCTCCACCCACAGCCGGAGCTTCAGGAGGATGCTGGGCCCAGGGAGCAAGGGGTAGTTGGGAGGGGGCTCTACGTCCATCGCTTTGCTGGGCATCCACTCTGGGCTTGTGCGTGTCAGCTGGCACTTTTTTTTTTTTTTTAAGATTTTATTTATTTGAGAGAGAGAATGAGATAGAGCATGAGAGGGGGGAGGGTCAGAGGGCAAAGCAGGCTCCCCGCCGAGCAGGGAGCCCGATGCGGGGCTCGATCCGGGGACTCCAGGATCATGACCTGAGCCGAAGGCAATGGCTTAACCAACTGAGCCACCCAGGCGCCCCAGCTGGCACTTGTTAAATACATTGCGCCCTATTCCTATCACGGAGGTACTATTACCATCACTCCCATTTCACAGATGAGGAATCTGGGGCACAGCCAGGCTGGGGGATGCCCTTTGTCTGGGCAACACAAAGGGAAGCTGCCCTCCAGAGCAATAAGATGACTCTTTTTTCTGGGTGCTCTTTTATTTTTATTTATTTTTAAAGATTTTAAGTAGTCTCTACATCCAATGTGCTGCTCCAGCTTACAACCCCAAGATCAAGAGTCGCATGCTCCACCCACTGAGCCAGTCAGGCACCCCTGGGTGCCCTTTTAAAACACAGCCTGAGGTCAGTTTCTCACTGTCACACTACTGACATTTGGGGCAGGGTCATTCTTTGTTGGGGAGAGGGACGGTCCTGTGGGTTCACTATAGTTTTAGCCAGCATCCCATCTCTACCCACTGGATGCCAGTGGGACCTGCCTCTTCTCCACCAAAGCCATCTCAGACATTGTTAAATGTGCCCCAGGGGCAAAGTGCCCCCAGTTGAGAACCACTGACGTAGAAGACCCAAACAGAACTTGCCAAGGGGAGCAGGGGGCCAGATGAGCCAGCTATCTTGACTCAGGGGCTAGCTGGTCTCAGGTCTACAAGCCAATTGGCTGCTCTGCCTATAGATTTATACAATCTGCACCCTCTCCAGCAGCTGTCTGCACCCATGTTCCTAGGTCCATGTTTCTGGGAGGGAAGAGTCAGGGCACTTCTGTGAATTATGGGGAAATGGCTCACCAGCCAAACCAGTCTATTCTGGGCTGTGCAGTTACAAAGTAAGGCTAAATAAAATTTAATAAAAGTGTTGCTGTGTGTCCTTGGAGCATGATGTTAATTTCTTCCTGTGGGTCAAGGTCAAAGTCTAAAAAATCACTGGTTATGCTCTATCCAGAACAGCTGGGTTGCTTAACTTTTGACAAAGAAAAACCCCTCCCTGAACCTCAGTCTGGAGTACAATTACGTAACCAATTAAGACTAGGGTAAGAAGCTGAGCAAAGGGACAAAGGGCAGTCAGCCCACTGGCTGCGGCAAGAGCCCCCTCACCACATCATGACGAGAGATGGACAAATCTGCCTCAGCCCACTTAAGACAAAAGCAGAATCAGTCTAGATGAAGTGCTTTTTATTTTTAGATCAACCAAACATATTTAATATAAAAACCCTTTAATATACAAACTGTAATCACAATAGCATCCACATAGCAGCAAGGGAACGGGGCATTGCGGGGAGCATGGCAGGGGAGAGGTTTTCAGGGTCCCTACGGTTTCCTGTGCCTGCAAGAGCACGAGGTCTTCGCAGAGGGCAGATCAAGGCAGGCAGAGGGGCCCTGATGCCAACACTGAGGCAGACTGAGCAAAGCAGACTCCTCCAGCATGCCATCTTCCCACCATGGCAGCCTCCAGGGAAAGCCAGATCCAGTTAGGAGATGACAGGAAGGTGGTTGTGACTGAGAGGAGAGTCAACCATCATTCCTCAGCATCCTGCTGAGCATGCCTTTGGGAACAGAGTTTTCCAGAGGCTGTTGGATTAAAAAGACTTAAAAACTGTCCTGGGAGAAGGACAGAAATTGTGTCCAAGTGTACCTTCTAACCAAGATTCCTTGCCTGTGACTCCAAAAAGCTGGGTGGATTTGCTCCGATGTTTGGGAAGGGACAGGAATGACAGAACCTTTGGCTCAACAGGGCTGGAGCCTTGCCAGGCATTGACCAAAAAAGCCTCAAGGCAGGCCAGGGAGGTCTGTGGGAAGAGCTCTGGGTCAATGGTACTCAAAGGAGCATGGTGGCACAAAGGCCTGCAGGTGGAACTTATAGTGTGTGTAGAAGAGAGAAAAGACACAAGTCACAAAGAATTAAAAACTGAAGTACGTGCTTCTTACAGGCCTGGGCAGTAGAGGTAAGATGATCCTTCTGGGTCAGGGTTGGGAGAGATCTGAGGCCTGCTCCTTCCTCAGAGCCATGTCTGACTGGCCTAGGTATAGTTGATGGCCCCAAAGTCCTCCAGATGGCCTCCATGGGACTGTGTGGGAGGCCCAGCTGCCCTCTCCAGATGTGCTAGGAGACTGGCCACAGTCCTGGCTGGGCCCAGGTAGGGCCTGGATTCCCACAGTTAGATGCAGTCCATGGAATTCTCGGGGAGGAGGCCGGGGATGCAGCCAGGGAGACCCAAGCCCTTGATGGGAGCACAGCTGAAGGGGAGGCCACAGCCCAGGGCAGGGTCCTGGTTCTCTATGGCCTCTAGCCTGTCCATGTTGTTGTCCCAGTTGATGTGGAAGCGGGTCACTCGGGGGTTCGAGGCCAAGATGTTCCTCTGGAGCTGGGGCAGAAAGAGGAATGTCAATCCTTGTCAGCATGCCCTGTCATTACTCCCACGGAGCTGGGGCACCCCCAGCCCCTGCCCCAAGGCCAGGAAGAACAGCTTACTTATTCCATCACCATCAGCAACTATGGGTAGAACTCCAAGGAGTGCCTATATATCATGACTTAGGGCTGAGACCTATCTAATCTCAGTTCTGTGAGGCGTGCTTCTGAGAAACAAAGACCTTTCTCTCTCTGGTTCTAGTCTGGAGCTGCAAGATCTGAGCATGACTTGAAAACCTTAAGAAGTGACCTTGGCTCCCAGTTCCAATGACTCAACTCCCCCAGGTGCAAAGGAGCCAGCCTGTCCGAAGCAGGAAGTGCAGAGACAGGTCCCACCTGAGAGAAGTCTGGCTTCAGGGGTGGGTTCTCCCGCAGCTCGGGACTGGGGTATTCGTTGTTGACGTAGTAGCCCACACGGATGAACTCCTGTCCATGGTAGGTGCAGGTGATGAGGACCACGGTCACACCCACAGCATCGGTCTCAGGGATGAGGGATGGGTTGGGGGCGTCAGCCTAGAGGAAACACACCCTGTGCCTTAGCATTGATCGCACAGCCACACCTCCATCTTGTGATTTTCGAGCAACACATATTTACTGAGCCAAAAGTATGGTTTCTGCCAACGGGAGTTTCTAATCGAGTGGGGAAGACAGAATCAATCCCGTAAATGCCTGTAAAATGCTCAGTGTGACAAGTGCCACAAAGGAGTAAATGGTGCTGAGGAGTGTAGTGAGCAGGGGGGAGGGTGGCATAAGATAAGGCAGGTAGGTACCAGGCCACCCAGGGCCTTTTGGGCCAGTTAAGGGCTTGGGGAAGAACAAGAATATTTAGCAGGAGGTAAGTGCTGCATCACTCTTATGGTCTGTAAAGACTGGCAGTGTGTGATGCTGTGATGGGAGGAGGGCCATTATGTAAGCAGGGAGATTCGGCAGTTTACAGTGGTCATCCTGGAGGTGTGGACAGTGATTTAGACCAGAAGGGAGAGGACAGAGGCGGACAGATTTGGGGTGTGTTGTTATGGATAGGACCAGCTACATAACTGGTACAAAATGAAACCAATACAAAATGAAACATGGGATCCCTTATTCACAAATAGTAAGTTTTAGCCAGTGACAGCAGAATATTAGATCAGGTGCCGGGCCCTGTGTGGCTGCATGGGCTGAATGCTCAGGAAGCCAGCCCTGCTTGTGGAGTGTAGTAGACGGGCTTGGCTTGCTGGTGGCCTGGCTACAGGTGGGTGAGGCGTTAGGGGATGGGAGGAGGTTGCTTGGATTGAGGAGGGAGCGGCCGAGTGGGATATAGGTAAGGACTGAGCAGAGCCTTTGCTTTTAATATCTTTAAGTATTTATTTATTTTAAAATATTTATTTATTTGAGAGACAGCGAGCGAGCGAGAGGGGGGAAGGGGAGGAGCAGAGGGAAGAAGAGAATCCCAAGGAGACCCCACACGGAGTCCAATGCAGGGCTCGATCCCATGACCTCGAGATCATGACCTGAGCCAAAATCAAGAGTCAGACGCTCAACCAACTGTGCCACCCAGGAGCCCTGGTAATTTTGCTGTTCAGAATGGCTACCAGGCATAGTGCTTAGTGCAAGGTGATGATGTGCTTTATGAAGAAAACGTGTGTTAGATAAGCTTTGTTCAGGCATGAGTTATAG